AACTTTCGCTGGTGACAATTCGTGGAAACCTGAATGGCCAACAATACCAAGATGCCGTTCTTCGTCCAGTGGTAGTCCCTCATTTTGACAACCATCCCCTTCAGACAAGACCTGTTTACATGGACGACAATGCTAGACCACACAGATCTCGGGCAGCTTTAGCTTATTTGCGTCAAGAAGCTATTGCCACTCTTCCTTGGCCGGCCTGTAATCCAGATCTTAATCCGATTTAGCATCTCTGGGACATTCTTGGCAGGAAAATCAGACATCGTGATCCCCAGTTCAAAATCTCGCTGGACTTGAAGCCGCACTTCATGAAGAATTGATCCGTTTGCCTCAGAGAACCATTCAACGACTTGTAATGAGAATGAGGCGTAGGGTTGAAGCTGTGGTCAATGTCCGTGGATCATACACACGTTACTGACGTTTCTGTCTTGTAATAGACTCTGCACTCCCTAGGATGTATATGTGACACCTGATATGGTCTGCTGATATCATGACAGTTACATGACAAAAAAAGTTTTTCAATGTTTTCTAATCCTTCATTTTCTGGTCTTCGGTAAAATTCCTTTTTGCTCATATTCTTTTGGAACACAAGATAAACTTGCTTTGGGACAACTTTTGCATCACATGAGGTTTACATATACGGCTTATAACAATCGTACATCTCGTTATAACAGTCATCATTAAGTGCCAAAAGTAACAGCTCACAAATATGGTGGGTGGCGCTTAACTTTTGTGCATGTGTATATAATCGTTGGTAACGGTATATATCTGGTGTTTGTTAATACTTTCTCCTCCCAGAACAGGGGTGGTGAGGTAGCCTTGTGGTTAAGGCGTTCGCTCATCAAGCCAAAGATCCGGTTCGATTCCCGACATGGGTTCAATGTGTGAACCCATTTCTGGTGTCCCCGCCACCGTGCCATTGCTGAAATATTGCTAAAAGGGGCGTAAAACAATACTCACTCACTTACCCATCCCAGAACACAGTATTCAGGAACGTATATTCTGTAACTAGTTGCAACTTTACATCATTTTAAAATCCGAACATATTATGAAATATGTTCTTTTCGTCATCGATTTGCACTGAGTATTATAATGTTAAAAATAGGTGAATAAAATTATGTTTGAGAATATTTCGTGTGTTTGCCAGTTGGAAATCATTTGAGTTAATCGATGAAAGATTTTATAAGTGCGTATGCGGTTGGCTCAGAGTGGTTCCTGGTCACATCTTCAGTTATTCAGTAATAAGTTTTAACTAAAACATGATAATACTTCATATGGTCAACACTTCGGTGTGTCCTACAATTAGCCCAACGATGAACTTCGAGATAAGTGGCTATTCAAGATAACAAAATACAAAACAGACATGACTATTAACTTTAACAAATTTTAACCAATTTGTGAGGAGCAGAAATGTAATCCATGACAGTTCACATGAATATAAAGACGGTTTCAAAATACGAGACAAGCCATAAAACAAACATTATTCAAACAGTTTCATCACGAGTAGATACAGTTCTTGAAAAATAGTGAATTCATGTAATAGCAAGGACATAGCGATATATGTTGATACAAGAGCAACTTGCTGAGTAATCTCCCATGGACCACGGAAAACGTGGTTGATAGCATGAGCACCTCATTACCATAGTCACAAAGCTCGCACGTAAAAGTAATCTAATGGTCACACGATCCAAACTGTTATAACAAGCATAAAATATTCCGCACTTGTCCTATTCACTAGTCTGAGTAGAAACCATCTTGACAATAATGGTTCAATAAAACATAAGATTATGGGACAAAAACACCTCTGAAATTGCAAGTACAATATTCCTGGTGTCAGGGCAACCTCAAACCTGGGAAAGTTGCCCCTTGATATCAGCTCCGCACCTCCAGATTCAACTGGACATGTTATCGGAATATACAGTCACACACCCTTGTAAGCTGAATAAATACTTCCAGTCAATAAAGAAGGAACAGGCAGGGACCAAGCTTTACTTTGAGACATAAATTGGACACAAGGGTGTTTGACTTTATTTTGATATATAACCTATATTTACTTTTGTAGAGTGTTTATAATGTGTATAACGTGTGTATTTTGTTAAGTCTTTGAAAGGCATTTAGAAGTGATACATATCAGAAATAGCGGATTTTAACCCTCAGACCCCCCAACACCAGACTCAAAGAACATCAGCCCTCTGTCAACAAACAAGACCTGAAATCCGTTATTTCCGAACACATCCTCAAGAACCAAGACCGTAACATCATGTGGGAAGCCACCAAAGTCTGTACACCAACAACGACTGGCGATAAAGAAAACTACAAGATGCCATTGACATCAGGAGACACCAGCCAGCCATAAACAGTGCCCAGGGACCCTATCTGCCCAGTGCTTGGGAGTTATTGCTTTGAATATTGCCTGTGCTAACTGGCTTCCATTTGTCCATTGCCATTTTCATTCTTTTACCTATCACTGCTAATTATACCCAGCGTCCCGTTTGCCCATGCTATTTACCAATCAGTGATAATATAAGTCCGGGCTTCCTGTTGCCATTCATAATCAACCATCAGCGCTAATTACTATAGCGTTGGCTTCCACTGTCTGTTGCTAATCCCCAATCAGGGCCAAGTATCTGTTGGCTTCCCTTGTTAAGTTTCCACCTTGTTATCGTATTACTTTTGTGCCTACAAGCATTCATTCACTTGAAGGAGTAAGTACATACTCGGAAACATTGTATTCCTCATAATAAAAAAGTTGACATCCATAAATTCTTTTCCTTATATATTTTTGTTGTTTAACTTGCACGCACCAATTTAAGGGCTATACCATGGCGGGCTGTAAATAATCAAGTCCTTACCAGACAATCCAGTGACTGATATTGTGAGCAACAATCCCCGCCATCAGGGTAGGATAAGACACGTTCAGCAAAGTCACATAGTCCCTAAAGTCTCTTCATACAACAAGCATAACCTATCCTCAACTAGAATACCCACTGTGTTCTGTATTTAGACATAGGAAAACATTATGGCTAGTGTTGGAGAAGATCTAGTGTGTACATAATGTTCTTGGTGACAAAAATTTAAAATGACTAAACCGAGGTTTACGTCTATAATATGATGAAAAGGTTATATGCCATCTGAAAGATGAGGCTTTTCACTAATAAAAACAGTCTCACCATCTGGCAACCCGGTCATGTGAGTGCAGAGTTTCAAGAAAGAATGCCTATTAGTTTTAGATATATGGTCCGGACAAACACACCACTATGAACAGAGTCCAAGTCAAACTTGTTGAAATGGAAACAGGAAAAAATGATATTTCTTAAATTCCTAAATAGCAAAAGGCACCATGCTTGATTAATACATGTACCAAGTTTGGATAAAAAATGTAGAATAGTTTTTTAGTTTTGATCCGGAAACAACACCTACCTCCGTTTCAGCGAAGTCTAACTTGTTTCCATGGAAACAGGATAAAGTCAAATTTTGAAAAATACCTAAATAGCAGAAGTTTCCACTTCAGCCCTTGGTTACCCCCGTAATACATGTACCAGGTTTGTATGAAACGTCTTTTACAGTTTTCAAGTTGTGTTCCAGAAATGACACCTACCTCCACCCTTTCGAGACTAAGTCCAAACTGTTTCCATTGAAATCAAGAAAAAGAAAAATGACCAAAATCTGCAAATAGCAAAAGGCACCACTTCAGGGCCTGTTTGATATATCTGCCAATTTTTGTTGAAAAATGTTGAACAGTCTCCTAGTTACGGGAACAAAATGTTTACAGACAGACGGATGGACAGCAGACAAGGCGTCGACTTTTTCCCCCGCATTATGTTGGGGGATAACAATGTTCAACATTTTAAATGTGTGAAAATGGCAAACGCAATAACTATGGATCTGGAAAGTTGCATGGTCGGTTGTGTTTATCATTGTTATCCGAAAACATTCATTGTAGTGTCCCAAATACCATCTAATCTTTGACTCAGTAGCAAGTGTAACTGTCACGTTAGGTCGGATCCAGTATTTTAAAAAGGGAGGAGTCCAAAATATCAAAATCCTCTCTCAGTCAATTTTACTGCCTACAACATACTACATTTGGTTTTCCAAAGGAAGGTGGGGTGTCTGGTTTTACTCTGCACTCAGCGATATTCCAGCTATAGGGCGGCGGTCTGTGATAATGGAGTCTGAACCAGACAATCCAGTGAGTAATAGCATGAGCATCAATCAACGCAATCGGGATATGATGAAATGCATCAACCAAGTCAGCGAGCCTGACCACCCAATCCCGTAAATCTCCTCTTTCGAGTATGGGTTGCTGATGACCTGTTCTAACCCTACCTTCATGGGTTAAACCACAGGTGTAGGAATGATGGGCCACTCAGCAATATATAGTGCATGGTTTCAGCCTGCAAATACTCCAGTCTGAACAAAGCAAACCGTTAGTCCACAGCATCAGCAGCAATGGGGTCCAGGTGATTGGTATACCATGACACACAATCTGCCTGACGACACATTGTAACCATACCACCCTCAGGTTACTTGGCTCAGCAAGCATGTAGCACAGGGGACACAATCTATTTTGCAACCCTCATGGGATGTGAAATCATCAAAAACAAATGTATTTGAGTGACCCTTGTTAACAAAGTAGCAGAGTTGCCCCCCAGGGCACCCCTTTTCACTACGCAGAGATGCAGCCCTTAGTGCCAGTATCTGATGACTGTCGATAAGACAAGATTTGCCTGAATATGAATACAAATGGTAAACAGTAAAATCACTCATAACATGTGATACAACTAAAATATTGTTCGAAGCATCTTTGAAACAAACTCCCTCAGTCACTCTTCAAACAAAAATCTTCATTTGATGGTCAAGTTACTTCATGAATCAGGATATGTTTCAAGGAACACTAGTTTTCGGGATTTCTGTACTAAACTAAAGGAAACTACTATGGCAGTGCCTTAAGTAACAGCTTATGAGTTGGAAAGAAAAGAATGTAGGAAAACAAATTTAATCACACAAAGACTTTTATTTCCACTCTTTACTCTCCATTGATTCCGGTCTTGATGGAGGTTCCAGGCTTTGCCAGAATTCCTCCTCAGGGTCAATGGTGTAAGGGTCCTCTTCCGGTTGAACTTGACCGGGTTCCCCCCAGTTGGTCCACAGAGTCTCAAGGTCATAATGTTCTCTAGTCTCAGGCATGAATATGTGCACAATAATGTTCCCTGAAACATGAAACATATTCAGAATAAACAGTGCCACTGCACCTGGATATGTAGTCAACAATCTAACATGTCAACATGGACAACAAAGACAGACATGTAACCATTGTCATATTAGGGATAATACTGCCTTAGCATAGTATATATTCTAGTACTTCTTTGGGTTGAGTCGAATCCACACTCTCAGAGTGAGGCACCAAATCGCTGACACACAAAGCCAGCGATCTAACCTACATTTTCTGTGAAACAAGTAACTAACTATCCACAATGTTTTAAAATCTTCAAGAAAGAATGTATTACTGCAGAACATTGTTGCAATACACAATAGTCACATTAACAGCTTCATTAACCTTCTGAAGAGAATACTTTTTTCAAATCATGCTGATACTATAAATTGTTTTTTCAATTGTTTTACAAAAAACACTGAAAAATCATAATGATTTAAACAAAAGAAGACATCGTCATTAGAAGAACCATTCACATCAAAGTTCAGCTTCTTCAGTCTGGCAATTACAGAGAAGAGGTCATAAAAGAGCATTACAGTACATTTTGAGCAGAAACATTTTGAGCAGAAACATTTTGAGGGGTACAAACATGTGAAGTGGTTTCTGTGGAAATGTTTAGAATGTGTGGAAATGCCTTTTCAGAAAGTTTTGGACCATGGTCAAAACACAAAGGTCAAATAAAGGTCTCAATGTAAGCTTTTGTGATGAAACGTACATCAGCGTTGACTCATACTGCTAACTACATATATACCTGGTCAAATTTCATTAAATTTGATACAAGCTGGCTGAGAAATTGCCATAAATAGGTTTCTCAATGTGTCTGCTATATTGAAAATCAGATTCAAACCTCTTTAACGAATTGGGTCGTCATCTTACATCAAAAGAAGTTTGTTAATTATCAGTTTCATTGGGCAAGTGGTTTATGAGATGATGTTATGTCGGACTGACGATGGACTAACAGGCGACAACTTTCAGTCAGGTGAGTCATCATGTGCAGTGTTACATATGCATAAGTACAAAAATGATTACAAAACTGTGTCTTCTGTGGACACAGACATTAGTCCTGTATGCCAGAGAGTAAACATTGGGAAAGATTACATGATCATCATAATTGTTTTACTTCCAAAAGCTATGCTACATACTCTATGAAGCTTTCATACTCCAATGAACTCACACAAAGTGAATGTCAATTCCACAAAACATTTGTATCAGTATTTTATACCCTCGAAGGATGTATGCACTATCTGATTTGGTAAAACTTACACTGACAGCTATACAACAACCAGCTGCAGCACGCAATAGAATAGTTCCTCAAAAGGAGAGGTGACATGAGCATATACCATGTATACATGTATGCTCAAATTGCTCAACAGTAACATCTTTTAGATGAGAAAGGTCTGTCAAGAACTACCTCAATGAGTTGGTCACAATGACAGTGCGTCGTAATGCATTTACATCAAGTACAAGAAGTCAAAACAATCAATGTGATGCGAGAGATTTGAGGTTGTTAATGAACCTGTGACCGGTCATTGAAAGGAGATAATAAACATGGATCAAGTCGATAGTTTGGAAGTGCATTCATGGTTTTTTTTGCACTAGGATGAGCACCTACGAGAATATTCGTGCAAAGGCATGATGTCAAACTCTCTGACTATTCCCAGTGAATGCTAAAATGCTGAGTTCAAGATAAAAGGGTCCAACATAAGAAACTTCAGTATTTATTTGTGCAAGGGGATTGCCAGGTGTATCCCCAGGAATGTGGAAGTAGTCTGTCAGTGGTTACATCATTTCAAGAATAGTCATGTGAAAAATATATGAATGACAAAATGTGCCATTCATACACTTATGAACGTCAGTTTTACAGTCATCTGATGGAGAACTCGTATGTTGTGTAAACTTCACCTTAAACATTATTTTTAAACATACATAGTATATAATCATGTTAATCTTTATAATAATAGTTCTTGTATTAATGAAAGATTCAAAACATAAAAGCAACATTTCAGTGAAATAATCAATGTATGAAGAGTACTCAATGAGGACAATTTCAAATAAACATGATGAAGAAGACATCAGTGTCATCCATTAATTTAGTTGTTGTCTTGGACTGTGATGATTGAAAGTTGACATGTGTAAATAGCCACCAGTAAGTGACCTGATTTTCAATACAAGTCAGAAATAAAGGCCTGGATCATGTTTAATTTGTGATTGACCTTGAATACTGACCTAGATCCATGGCATGCCAGTCAGAAGTTGTCTCATAGCCTTCAACTCTCAAGGGCAGATCCTTGGCCCCCTTCCTCTGTTTGTGCTGGAGGGGAACACGGGGAGACATTTCAGACAACATGCACAACACTCAAAATCAGAAGGCGGGTCACACATTGTAACCATTTAATCCTCAGATTTAATTTTTGCTTATCACAACTAGCAGACATGACCTCTCAAATGTCAGTGTTTTGTCAAATAATATTAGTAAGTGAGTCATTTTCCACAAACTCTGGTCACCAATGACAAAGTTACTAACATTACCTGTTCGGGTTGGGTCCTTTGTTTGCTGACCTCCCATTGATATTCTAACATTAGTATCAGGCACTCAGGGGTATCCGAATGTTTTGAGCCCAGCACACATGGAACTGAAATATTGTTGTGAGCTGTAAATATTTTCAACAAAGTACCCTTGCAGTTCAAACCTCTTGTTCCATTTTTTCTCCAGGTCCATTATCTCAATATCCCTGTTCCAAATCCTTGTCTGCCAACCAGCCCTCCTCAGTAATAACCAATGTTTGGTCCTTGCTAAATCTCTGACCACACAAGTGGGCTTTTTGAATTTGAAAAGGGGAAGTAGTCACCAGGGGCCACACCTGGTGAACAAGTGGATGGGTGAAGCTCATATCCACAATACCATACAGCAGCCATTGCAGCATGACTGGAGAGAACTGGACCAGCCTCTTGATGGAGGAGAAGACCAGTCTATTGCAATGCTTCTCTTAGATTGACTTTTTTAAGCAAGTGAACTGAGTATTCACCATTCATTGTTCCCTGTCACCCTGTGGTAACTTATTGATGTGTGTTATGACTTGGCTGGCCTACAAGAAGATGACCATAATTATTTTAGTAGATCGGTTGCTCTTAACTTCCTGGTTTGGGGAGACACAAAGTGTTTCCACTCCATGGATTCTCGTTTGCTCTCGGGATCAGAATGAGGGATCAGGGTGTTATCACCTGTCACTAGCCTAACATGAAAATCTTCTGGGTTGATATCACGTCTGGTTAAAAGGGCACTAGAGCTAGTGACTCACATAGTCATCATTTCATCCGAAGCATTCTAGGAACCGATTGCTCATGAAGGACTGTTTCTATCGACCTACACAAGAAGCCTGTGGTCTCTGCATTACCGATACTGTTTGGTGTGTAATGCACCATTGTACAGTAGCAGGTTGTGGACAGCATCAATGTTTCCTTCTGGGGGCTTTTGGTGCCTCAACCAGAGGCAGGGTCATCTTCTAAACTCTTTCTCCCACACCGAAATCCCTTTACTTAACATTTAATTGCAGCAGCCTCCCCATAAACAACATGCAACCAGTCAAGAGTACACACTTGGATGACTGTTCTATATTTGTAGGTGAGTGACTATGTTTTCACACTTCTTTGGCAATATTCCATCACAGCAGGGGAAACCAGAAATGGGTTCACACATTGTACCCATGTGGGGAATCAAACCCAGGTCTTTGTCGTGATGAGCGAACACTTGAACCACCGAGTTCTACATTACGTTTTGTCCATTGCAATGCTAAGGAGTAGGGTGCCTCAGTCGAGGTGAATTATCACCATGTTACTAGACTGGTGCATGCCAAACTGTGAAAGATGAGTCCACAAATACAGGTCAATACTAGAATAGGTTACATGTAGCAGACTAACAACCTAGATGTGCCAGTCTCAAAACTTTCTGATATCCCCTTGTGCGTTCTGAATCTGAGTGAGTCAGTCAGTCATAGAGACACTTTGAGCCATCAAGTAAGGAAATAATGCAGTTTCTGCTTCCTACAGTGATCCTGTGACAAAGGACATGCTAAAAGAAAAAATGGCTCCTGTCAAAATAATCATCAAATATACCAGTTGGGTACTGACAGAGCATGGGAGTCAAGTGTGAGCAGACGGGATGCGAAAACTCTAACTGGATCTTCCAGCCTCTGCTACGAAATGGATAGGATAGTGTCACCTGTGTCACACGATTAGCTGCTGCAACCGTATTCTACGCCCTATAAATGATTATGATCTTGACTTGTCGCTACACAGAGCAACAGGCTGGCCCCTAGTGTTTCATGATAGATCCCCAAACCAAATCTGCATCACACTTCACATGCTTCAGCAAAGTGCATGCATCGTGATCTAACAACAAATGCAACATGATTTACTTCCTTAGACACTTGCCTTCAAATACAAGTAATAATAGTTTAGATTGTGCAACAATATATTTACTTATTGAGTTGCAAACTGATGTTTACAAAAAAAATAACTGATCCACCAATGCGCTCAGTGATCAATGGTGATGATTCCAACATGATATCAGTACATAAAAAGTTGCATGATCATGTATTCCTATTTGAAGGCAAGTGTTCTTTGAAGTGAACCGTGTTGAAGTTTTCCCGGGTTTACAACTAATGAACATTATGGTAGGATTGTTAGTGAGTATGTTCGGAAACTGGAATCTAAGCTCACTAGTGGGATAAAGTCAAAATCAAAACTGTTTATAGAGACAGCACAGAGACAGGGTTACCCTCACATGATTAGCAACAGTTAGAATCATGGGAGATCATGTGATTAAACAATTAGAGTATGTACTCGAGTTCTATAAACATGATCCCTGATGATCAGGACTTCTCTTATCATTCTTGTAAGTTTTTTTAAACAGCAGTTAAGACAAGGGAGGTAGTTTGGGAAGTCTTATCCTATTAATACTAATAATAGCATATTTTGATAAAGGGTGATATTAAATAAATCAGTCTAAAGTTCTGATAGACAGGTAATTAGTTTGTTGTTGCCCACACAATGTATACTTTACTTACCACCCACTTGATGCGACTTGACATGCTTCGGAGGTGGCGATGAGAAACGGCACTGACAATTACCATTTGGTCTCCAAACCGTGCCTCGGGTGGAATATTGATAACAACAATGTCTCGAGCATTCTCCTTCTCCAGAAGTGTTACAAGTTCATCAACTTCAAACACACCACTAACACCTCCTGGAACAAACATAACAACATGGAAATAAACATTCATAAACTTTATACATAACACAATGATCTAATACTCCTTGGATGTGTTCCTCACGCCGATATCACTGTAACTGCTTAAAACAAAGATCAATCATGTGACTTGTGGAAGTGATTTTACACAAGCCTCATAGCACCACATACTCAAACAATGAACAGAGTTGAAGCATCTCCCTGAGGCAAGGGAGTTAAATGACAATATAAGTCCAGTTTCCATCCTTGCCGAACAAGCCCGGAATTTTGAGGTTCAATCGTTGCACCACCGTTGTAAGTTACGAGTAATGCCCCTTCTATGTCCCTCCTAATGACCAATCAGATTCCACCTCTCCTATCGCTTGCATTTCTTCCAACAAAAAGGTGATCTGATCAATAATCAAGATCTTTATTGTAAAAAATTGGGTCTTTCCTCGCAAAGTACATCAAATCACTTGAGCACCTTGCGTAAAACCATGAAAAGATTTGGAAAACAGCTGTTGACTCCTATGCTTTCCCTATCCTGCAATCAACTGAAATCTGCATGGCACTTCGATTCGTTCGCCCAGCCAAAATATAACTCCATAATTACAGCGTTGTTCGGTAAGGGAGGAAACTGGAGTTTTAGTCAGTTACCTCCCTTGCCTCGAGAGCAAACAAGACATCAATACATGATTGTGTGACCACTCGAGACACTTACAAGTTGTAATGTGACATGTTATGAATGCAACATCCTGGTCGGGTAGCCTAGTGGTTAAAGCGTTTGCTCGTCACGCCGAGGACCCGGGTTTAGATTCCCTACATTGGTACAATGTGTGAAGCCCATTTCTGGTGTCTCCCATCGTGATATTGCTAAAAGCGGCATAAAACCAAACTCACTCACTCCTAATCCTAACAAAACATGTCCTTGACATTCACAATGTTGACCATGCTGAAAGTCAGACCATCAGTCAGGATTATTAAAACAATAAATTCAGATAACTTCCATAAATGGCATTATGAAGTAAGTATGATGAACAAGGGATATCTGGGATAGAGTTCTATGAATATACAGCTTCTTAATTACAATGACTGCAATGTTTTGGTGTAGATACTAACATCGTTATCAAGCAAGTGATGTACAGAAATGTGAAGTAGGAAGGTCAAATACATGCGGATAAAGACTGTTTATACAAGATAATGTTTACACAACAGAAGAGATGAGGTATAAAGCCTGATTAATGTACATAAATAGGATAAACAAGGCGTGATGGGTAAAACAATACACTGATAGATATAGACACGTTGATTGGAAGCCAGTGTAAGAGGGATATACACATATAAGCCGCGCTAAATTTAACTTTTGAAAGCTCATGACGCACGTTCGGTTCCAAATTCAATTTACAACAGTTAAATCTCCAGGTAACCTACCTCCACATTGAAAACACAGTATGTTAATCACCTACTTATTGTACACCCCACTGCTTCAAATCTCTACATTTGTGCATAACAAAAAAAACAAGCATTTAGCCGATTTTCCTGAATTTGTTAACATCATGTATATATATTTGAAATAAATTAATAACCATAAGTGTAACACTTTGGTACAGCTGATCGCTATTGCCAGATATTTTTTAGTATGGAACAATTTAACCAATCATCATCAAGTCTCCTGCGCTCACAATAACGAACAAATATGACTTTCAGCGAGTCAATGTATGGCATTTATGATATACATATGCACAAAAGTTAAGCTCCACCATATTTATAGTCTCTTGATTTCACGTGTGGGAATCAGAAATACGAAATATGATGATGTATGACTGAATAAGGCTTCCATAGTTTCATGGACCCAAATTTGTCCAGATACCACAAGGAAAGCATGCTTTACGTGTTGCTGCAGTTCCCCTACCCTGTAAAAAGTGAAATTCAAGTTTCAGACACGTGGTTGCATTTTGCTCCTGTGTGAGATTCCCCTTCCAATAGAGGTTGAAAATCAGCCATGGTGAGGAGAAATTAAACGAACGCTGAAAGATGGCAAGTGATAGGCATGAAATATGCTGGCATGTCATGCAGAGCCATTGCAAGACAAATGGGTCGTCATCACAGTGTTATCACTCGTTTGATTGTCAAACATGGTAAAACCAATGATGTCAATGACAAGCATAGGTCTGGTAGGCCAAGAAAGACCTCTAACAGAGAGGATAGACGTCTTTTCAGGATAGTCAGATGAAATCCATTTGCCACTTCAACAGATTTAAGACTGCAGTGGATTACCCATCAGAGACTCTCGATGATGACCGTAAGGCGTCGCCTCAGAGCGGCTGGTTATAACGCCAGAAGACCAGTAAAACGTCCTCAACTGACTGAGAGGCACATGCGGAATCGTCTGATATGGTGTCGTGCCCGTAGTCGATGGAACTTGGCCAACTGGAGAAGGATCCATTGGTCTGATGAGTGTCGAATGCTGCTACGAACTGTTGATGGTCGAATACGTGTTTGGAGGCAACGTAACACTCGTTTCGCACCAAGGAACATCCAGAAGACATTATCATGTGGCAGGGGGTCTGTCAGGATATGGGGTTGTGTTTCCTTCGGCTGCAAACTTTCGCTGGTGACAATTCGTGGAAACCTGAATGGCCAACAATACCAAGATGCCGTTCTTCGTCCAGTGGTAGTCCCTCATTTTGACAACCATCCTCTTCAGACAAGACCTGTTTACATGGACGACAATACTAGACCACACAGATCTTGGGCAGTTTGGGCTTATTTGCGTCAAGAAGCTATTGCCACTCTTCCTTGGCCGGCCTGTAATCCAGATCTTAATCCGATTGAGCATCCTTGGGACATTCTTGGCAGGAAAATCAGACATCGTGATCCCCAGTTCAAATTTCACTGGACTTGAAGCCGCACTTCATGAAGAATGGATCCGTTTGCCTCAGAGAACCATTCAACGACTTGTAATAAGTATGAGGCGTAGGGTTGAAGCTGTGGTCAATGTCCGTGGATCATACACACGTTACTGACGTTTCTGTCTTGCAATAGACTCTGCACTCCCTAGGGTGTCTATGTGACACCTGATATGGTCTGCTGATATCATGACAGTTACATGACAAAACAAAATTTCAATGTTTTCTAATCCTTCAATTTCTGGTCTTCGGTAAAATTCCTTTCTGCTCATATTTTTTTGGAACACAAGATAAACTTGCTTTGGGACAACTTTTGCATCAAATGAGGTTTACATATACGGCTTATAACAATCGTACATCTCGTTATAACAGTCATCATTAAGTGCCAAAAGTAACAGCTCACAAATATGGTGGGTGGCGCTTAACTTTTGTGCATGTGTATAAATACATGTACTAAGTACTTGAGCAGATGGCCTCTGCATGGACAAAGAGGCTTGACAGAAGTATTTCCGGGAACTTTATCATGTTAACTGTTGATGTGTGATATTTGTATTCAAGGATGTCTGCTGGTATGGTTTAGTGTTCACTGCACAACTTATACTGTCGTGTATCGGGAGACCTTTGACAACATGATTTTACATTTTTTAAAGTCAGTCTACCACCAATATGAAGTTATGGAGCCAAGTATTGCGACACTGAAAGTTTATCATCAAGAAAAGTGTGAATATGCCATACAAAAAGTGTTTTTGATCCAATTTCAAGATGTCATAAATTGTTTATGGCAAAAGTGAATTAGAGTAGTGAATAATACATGATAATAGTAGCTGCATGTTAGAAATTGAGGGTAATACACACATGCACGTTTATAATTTATATCCACCTGCTCAAAGGTGTGACACCAACAAAGAAATGATGTTTTCTTATAGAGAAACATTTTATCCATATGTATTTATTATAGATCTACATAACACACTTAAATACTACTAAATTTACTTTTACGCAAAACAGTTGAAAAGGCGAGTGATTTCCCATTATATATCAGTTGCATTAGGGCTGGGATGAGTTCAAAATGACTACCCAGGTAACCAACCCCCTATTACCATGATTACCAGATCCTAGCTACCAGGATATCTGCTTTAGGTTTCTAGAGTTGGGTACAAACCGTCTGATTAGGAATTGTTTTCCCGTATAAAACGTTCTGGTCATGCATACACTGAAACTTTATCTATACTCAAAACATATAAAAGTCAGAAGGAGTGCGAGTATAGTCAGAAAGATATGCAAACATTAGCAACTTGTAGGTAACCATGGAGTTTTCCTCATGAAACAATATATCACGTGACTAACCACAGGTTTGGGTAGTCCTGTGGGTGCCTTGGTCCTACTCAGTACCCACCCGACCCTAGTACCCGAGTTACCCATCCCAGCCCTAAATTGCATGGTCAAAAGGAAAGGGTCAATATAATATGAACTAACGTTTTAACCCAATTGGTGAGACCCATGGTGGTTCAATTTCTTGTCGCTCAAATTGTTCTACATCTTCTATTTCAGGCTGCATAGAATCATATTTCAGATCATCAGTCAATGATGGTGTGTCTTTGTTGTCATCTTCATTTTGTGAAATAGGTTCTGTGTGTTCGGTTGGTTTATCACTGTTTGCTTGAGATTTCTTCTCACGTTTGAAGTCAGTTCTTATTTCATCTAAAAATGATTTCAGTTCTGGGTCATTTTTAAAATCGAAGTCTTTGCTACAGTACGACTTCTTCTGATAACTGATAGGTTGTGACAAGACAGACTGAGGGCTGCAGTGGACGCCATAGTAACATGGAGTCCGTGTCATTGAGGACAGTGATGCACATGACACACTGATTTGACATTGAGAACATTTCACTGCTCTCACTGTATTTGTCCTAATCACATTCGAAAGCGCAGCACATGATCTGTGCATCATTATTATGGTGCTGATAAAGCAAGGTACACACGGAATATAATTACCAGGTAACCACAAACTAGCCTGTTACACAAACTTAGCACCTTTGCTCTTATCAGACCAAATTAACCGGATATATATTGAAAAACGAGTTGTCATAAAAGTGTATTAATTTTCTGATGTGGTATAATAGATATTAACAGATATATTTTCATTGGTATTTCGGAATATGAAAACTAGGGAGCAAATTCGGTTTACGTGAAATATATGCAGTAGTTAATTGCGAGTCTGCGACATGCCATAATCGGGGTCCTCTATGGGCCATACCAAGCTCCTCACAGCGATATCCCGTTCGCAGAGCTCTCTATACTTTGTTACCGAGAGTGTAACGAAGGTTTCACGCGCTGGTAAGGAGATTGGGCCGACCATATGTACCTCCTTACAGAGAAGAATTTAACAAGCTGCGATCACATTTCAGCGTAATGCAGACGACAACCTCATAATGATATATGGGTTATCGTGTTTACATCTAAGTTGTTGTAAACAAATAGAGCAGCAGTTGCAATGTTAAAAACATACAAACAGTGATGATGACGATGATTGACAGTGATGCAACCTGTGCTGTGTCAGTCTCGTGATCCGACTTATTCACAACAGGTCATCAATTCATCAAGAATTAATCCGTTACCAGAAAATCAGAAACATGTCATCGTGTTGATCTAATACAAGACAAGAAACTATGGGTGGATCAGTTTTATTCATACCTGTTTTTTTCGCACTGGCGAGTTTGGGCGTATATACTCTGTCAGTGAATTTTCCAGAACACACCGGCCTGCACTCCAACAGGTACCTATTTCAAGAAAATCTGTGTCTTATGTGTATGTAGCTTAAACTTAAATTCAAAGTCAGGAATTCAGGATCTTCCCTGGGTCTATCTATTTTCTAGTTCTTTGGAGTCTCAGAAATAGATTTTGGGGGTGCATGCTGACTACATGTTGCGGCTTCTCTTGATTTCCCAGAAACAATTTAGTGTTGTCATATCATTCCACATGCCCAGAAGCCTTAAGTCAATTATGCATGTGGATTTCAAGAAGAAAATCAACCACTCACACCCTGAACATTGGGTGTATTTCTTACCAGAATAGAATTTCAGTTCTGTCTTGTTCTATCACATACATGTACTATGTAACATGCAATCTAAAGTGTTGACAGTGAGTGATGCACAAGCATGATTATGCTATCACAAAACAGCCATACCTTTTTGCATCTCACAGGACTCACACTGTAACTTAAATCAGTTCATTTTCAATTTGTATGCATATAGGATGCAATATTCTGCACCCATTAACATGATTAGAACCCTGCAAGTTGACAATTTGTTCCATTAATCCACATGAAAATATATAGCCTATATATATGTCTGAGCATTAAACTTGTTGAAGTAATCATGCATCTTCGTCAACTTTGTCAAACACCATGAACATCTGAACATATATTGTTAACAATGATGGTTAATCAGTTAGATTTTGAAGACAATGCCCTAACCATGTCTTCAATTCACCCAACATGGCTAATGTTTGTTTGAAAATAAAATATAGAAAACCTGACCAGTAGCCTTGAGCCTGTGTAGGGCCACTAACAATTAAGTACAAATCATTTTAAATATGTTACTCTCTATGCTATCAACATGATCAAAACTACTTACTCACATCAGTCTGGAATGTTATGTTAGTTATACAAATGTAAACACAATCATAAACATGATAACAGACAAAACAGATGCCAATTTAGTTTTGATGTCTTATCAGTGTGGACAACATATCAGTACATTGTGTTTTTAGGATAATTAATCTTACCTCCAAAAACATGTCACAGACCGGAGACTATTCCGTCATAAAGGTCTACGTACAAGGATGGGACCTGTCTATAACATAGTTATTGATCAGTATTGATCACAATCGCACACAAAGTAAACAGTATCGATTCTTACTTTAAATGTATTCTTCAATAAATGTTACACCAAACACTAATTACTAGTGAAAATGTATTTGAAACATAAATATTTTCATCCATTGCGCCATACTTGACACTGCCAACTGTAAATCGTTAGTGTGCCAGGTACTTGGCCATCCTGTCTATGAAAAACATGGCTCACGCACCACAGAAAAGTGCACATGCAAGTATCATGATACATATCTGATCATGAGCAAGGTATCGTGATACATATTGGATGGCACAGTTGGTGTATCGTCCCAGCCCTATTAAATAGACATATGATCATCGTACACTGACAATGTGGATGGGTTTTCTTGCTATTAACCACTGGTTGGTCTGTCACAGACACAATTATTTACAGGCTCAATAAGGAAATATCTGTTAATGTACTACTGCTGCCTGTGACATGACATGACACGACACTCACTCACCATGCTCACTTATTCACTTGTCTTTAAAATGTACACTTGATGCTTTCTCCCTGAAATTCAAGACTGAAATTTACTCTGGCAATATGAGATATAATGTTATAAGACACAATGGTGTTTGACACTTTTTGTTTCGCCTGATCCGTTGTAATCACCCTGATTATGCTGATTCGTTAAATGTGATGAAACAAATAGTTTCTTTTTCCAGCTCTGATCTCAAGTTTCCAACGAATATGGATGAGTTACAGAGTGTTGCCAACTTCCTACATGACTACAAGAATGATCACTTCAACTACGTCATGCTCCTCTTCACTTCTGCATACCTCTACAAGCAAACCTTTGCAATTCCAGGATCAGTGTTCATGGTAAGCCCTGGAATATATGCTGGTATACATGACGTGAGGACATCAGATTTATGTAGGGATCAGTGTTCATGGTAGGCTACCATGTATGTATATGCAAGCTCAGCTGATTTAAGTAGGGATCAGTGTTCATGGTAGGCTTTGATGTATGTATGTGCAAGGTCAGCTGATTTAAGTAGGGATCAGTGTTCATGGTAGGCTACCATGTATGTATGTGCAAGGTCAGCTGATTTAAGTAGGGATCAGTGTTCATGGTAGGCTACCATGTATGTATATGCAAGGTCAGCTGATTTAAGTAGGGATCAGTGTTCATGGTAGGCTACCATGTATGTATGTGCAAGGTCAGCTGATTTAAGTAGGGATCAGTGTTCATGGTAGGCTATGATGTATGTATATGCAAGGTCAGGTGATTTAAGTAGGGATCAGTGTTCATGGTAGGCTACCATGTATGTATGTGCAAGGTCAGCTGATTTAAGTAGGGATCAGTGTTCATGGTAGGCTATGATGTATGTATATGCAAGGTCAGCTGATTTAAGTTGGGATCAGTGTTCATGGTAGGCTACCATGTATGTATGTGCAAGCTCAGCTGATTTAGGTAGGGATCAGTGTTCATGGTAGGCTTTGATGTATGTATGTGCAAGGTCAGCTGATTTAAGTAGGGATCAGTGTTCATGGTAGGCTACCATGTATGTATATGCAAGGTCAGCTGATTTAAGTAGGGATCAGTGTTCATGGTAGGCTATGATGTATGTATATGCAAGGTCAGCTGATTTAAGTAGGGATCAGTGTTCATGGTAGGCTACCATGTATGTATGTGCAAGCTCAGCTGATTTAGGTAGGGATCAGTGTTCATGGTAGGCTTTGATGTATGTATGTGCAAGGTCAGGTGATTTAAGTAGGGATCAGTGTTCATGGTAGGCTACCATGTATGTATATGCAAGGTCAGCTGATTTAAGTAGGGATCAGTGTTCATGGTAGGCTATGATGTATGTATATGCAAGGTCAGCTGATTTAAGTAGGGATCAGTGTTCATGGTAGGCTACCATGTATGTATGTGCAAAGTCAGCTGATTTAAGTAGGGATCAGTGTTCATGGTAGGCTACCATGTATGTATATGCAAGGTCAGGTGATTTAAGTAGGGATCAGTGTTCATGGTAGGCTACCATGTATGTATATGCAAGGTCAGCTGATTTAAGTAGGGATCAGTGTTCATGGTAGGCTACCATGTATGTATGTGCAAGGTCAGCTGATTTAAGTAGGGATCAGTGTTCATGGTAGGCTATGATGTATGTATATGCAAGGTCAGCTGATTTAAGTAGGAATCAGTGTTCATGGTAGGCTACCATGTATGTATGTGCAAGCTCAGCTGATTTAGGTAGGGATCAGTGTTCATGGTAGGCTTTGATGTATGTATGTGCAAGGTCAGGTGATTTAAGTAGGGATCAGTGTTCATGGTAGGCTACCATGTATGTATATGCAAGGTCAGCTGATTTAAGTAGGGATCAGTGTTCATGGTAGGCTATGATGTATGTATATGCAAGGTCAGCTGATTTAGGTAGGGATCAGTGTTCATGGTAGGCTACCATGTATGTATGTGCAAGGTCAGCTGATTTAAGTAGGGATCAGTGTTCATGGTAGGCTACGATGTATGTATATGCAAGGTCAGGTGATTTAAGTAGGGATCAGTGTTCATGGTAGGCTACCATGTATGTATATGCAAGGTCAGCTGATTTAAGTAGGGATCAGTGTTCATGGTAGGCTACAATGTATGTATATGCAAGGTCAACTGATTTAAGTAGGGATCAGTGTTCATCGAGGCTATGATGTTTGTTTGTATGTATGTATAGATAACAAAGTTATTTACAGATTGTTTTTTCATTTTATGGTATTGAAAGATATTTATGGGTTGGGTTAATCCTGTACCTTTGTTTTTGCAGAACCTACTATCTGGTGCTCTATATGGTACAAGGGTTTGGTTAATCCTGTACAACTGTTTTTGCAGAACCTACGAGCTGGTGCTCTATATGGGACAAGGGTTGGGTTAATCCTGTACCTTTGTTTTTGCAGAACCTACGAGCTGGTGCTCTATATGGTACATGGATTGGGTAATCCTGTACCTTTGTTTTTGCAGAACAAACTAGCTGGTGCTCTATATGGGACAAGAGTTGGGTTAAACCTGTACCTTTGTTTTTGCAGAACCTACGAGCTGGTGCTCTATATGGTGCATGGATTGGGTTAATCCTGTACCTTTGTTTTTGCAGAACCTACTAGCTGGTGCTCTATATGGTCCATGGGTTGGGTTCATCTTGTGCTGTTTTCTGATATCCTGCGGTTCCTCCTTCTGCTACCTCCTGTCTGATTTTTTTGGCAAAAAATATATTATTCAATATTTTCCACAAAAAGTGAAATATTTTCAGACTTTGGTAAGTTCCAGATTTATTCATTTTGATGTATATTAATTTAAGAATACATTGTACATGTCTATTCCCTGTTTCTTGTCTCTTGATGTTAAACAGCCATACCCTTTTGCATCCAGTTGGTGATAAGGCCCATACATTTATGATCAGTGTTTTTGGTATATGAAGCACTTTTTCTGTTAACAATTGTGCTTGTTGTATGACCTTTTGGACCTTAAATATTTTTATCTATTACCCTTGGGTATGTTTCATATGATCCAGAAAAAATATGGAGCCTCACAGGGCTATAGCTTTCCAGTTCAGACTGGAACCCTCTGTTGGTACCTTCTGAAGACAGTGTCTATATTTCCTTTATAGTTTCACAGCTATATCACAGTTATAGTATAAGGATTTGCTTGGATCATATGATACCCGTCATTCTTTGAAGCACAAAAGTAATTATATTGTCACTGATGTTCTGAAAGCATTATTATTTACATAATTTCTTGTTTCAGATTGAGGAAAATCTTGACAGTTTGTTTTTCTTCCTGCTGTTTCTCCGCTTGTTCCCAATGTCACCGAACTGGTTCATGAACATGGCTTCACCCATAGTGAACATTCCCCTCCACATCTTCTTTCTGTCTATCTTAGTAGGTGAGTCTTGGTTCCTCTTGGTGGATGAGTTTGGGTTTCTGGGTAGGAGAGTGGGATTCTATTAGTAGGTGAGTCTGGGTTTCCATCAGGTGGGTCTGGGTGTCTCATAGTTGGTGAGTCTGGGTGTCTCATAGTTGGTGAGTCTGGGTGTCTTGTAGTTGGTGAGTCTGGGTGACTCATAGTTGGTGAGTCTGGGTGTCTCATAGTTGGTGAGTCTAGGTGTCTCATAGTTGGTGAGTCTGGGTGTCTTGTAGTGGGTGGGTCTGGGTGTCTCATAGTAGGTGGGTCTTGGTGTCTCATAGTTGGTGAGTCTGGGTGTCTCATTGTAGGTGGGTCTGGGTGTCTCGTAGTAGGTGGGTCTGGGTGTCTCGTAGTAGGTGGGTCTGGGTGTCTCGTAGTAGGTGGGTCTGGGTGTCTCATAGTTGGTGAGTCTGGGTGTCTTGTAGTAGGTTGGTCTGGGTGTCTCGTAGTAGGTGGGTCTGGGTGTCTCGTAGTAGGTGGGTCTGGGTGTCTCGTAGTAGGTTGGTCTGGGTGTCTCGTAGTAGGTGAGTCTGGGTGTCTCGTAGTAGGTGGGTCTGGGTGTCTCGTAGTAGGTTGGTCTGGGTGTCTCGTAGTATGTGGGTCTGGGTGTCTCCTAGTGGGTGTGTCTGGGTCTCTCTTAGTTGATGAGTCTAGGTGTCTCGTAGTAGGTTGGTCTGGGTGTCTTGTCGTAGGTGGGTCTGGGTGTCTTGTAGTAGGTGGGTCCGGGTGTCTCGTAGGAGGTTGGTCTGGGTGTCTCGTAGTAGGTGGGTCTGGGTGTCTCGTAGTAGGTTGGTCTGGGTGTCTCGTAGTAGGTTGGTCTGGGTGTCTCCTAGTGGGTGCGTCTGGGTGTCTCTTGGTAGGTGAGTCTGGGTGTCTCTTGGTAGGTGAGTCTGGGTGTCTCTTGGTAGGTGAGTCTGGGTGTCTTATAGTTAGTGGGTCTGGGTGTCTCTTGGTAGGTGAGTCTGGTTGTCTGGGAGTAGGTAGATCTGGACGTCTCTTGGTAGGTGAGTCTGGGTGTCTTATAGTAGGTGGGTCTGGGTGTCTCTTGGTAGGTGAGTCTGTTGTCTTGGAGTAGGTGGGTCTGGGTGTCTCTTGGTAGCAGCGTCTGGGTGTCTCTTGTTAGGCGAGTCTGGGTGTCTCATTGTAGGTGGGTCTGGGTGTCTCGTAGTAGGTGGGTCTGGGTGTCTCGTAGTAGGTGGGTCTGGGTGTCTTCGTAGTAGGTGGGTCTGGGTGTCTCGTAATAGGTGGGTCTGGGTGTCTTCGTAGTAGGTGGGTCTGGGTGTCTTCGTAGTAGGTGGGTCTGGGTGTCTTCGTAGTAGGTGGGTCTGGGTGTCTGGTAGTAGGTGGGTCTGGGTGTCTGGTAGTAGGTGGGTCTGGGTGTCTTCGTAGTAGGTGGGTCTGGGTGTCTTCTTAATTGGTGGGTCTGGGTGTCTTCGTAGTAGGTGGGTCTGGGTGTCTTCGTAGTAGGTGGGTCTGGGTGTCTCATTGTTGGTGGGTCTGGGTGTCTTCGTAGTAGGTGGGTCTGGGTGTCTTTGTAGTAGGTGGGTCTGGGTGTCTTCGTAGTAGGTCGGTCTGGGTGTCTTCGTAGTAGGTGGGTCTGGGTGTCTTTGTAGTTGTTGGGTCTGGGTGTCTTCGTAGTAGGTGGGTCTGGGTGTCTTCGTAGTAGGTGGGTCTGGGTGTCTTCGTAGTAGGTGGGTCTGGGTGTCTTCGTAGTAGGTGGGTCTGGGTGTCTTTGTAGTTGTTGGGTCTGGGTGTCTTCGTTTTAGGTGGGTCTGGGTGTCTCGTAGTAGGTGGGTCTGGGTGTCTTCGTAGTAGGTGGGTCTGGGTGTCTTCGTAGTAGGTGGGTCTGGGTGTATTCGTAGTAGGTAGGTCTGGGTGTCTCGTAGTAGGTGGGTTTGGGTGTCTTTGTACTAGGTGGGTGATGGGTGTCTTCGTAGTAGGTGGGTCTGGGTGTCTTCGTAGTAGGTGGGTCTGGGTGTCTTCGTAGTAGGTGGGTCTGGGTGTCTTCGTAGTAGGTGGGTCTGGGTGTCTTCATCGTAGGTGGGTCTGGGTGTCTTTGTAGTTGTTGGGTCTGGGTGTCTTCGTAGTAGGTGGGTCTGGGTGTCTTCGTAGTAGGTGGGTTTGGGTGTCTTTGTACTAGGTGGGTCTGGGTGTCTCGTAGTAGGTGGGTTTGGGTGTCTTTGTACTAGGTGGGTCTGGGTGTCTTCGTAGTAGGTGGGTCTGGGTGTCTTCGTAGTAGGTGGGTCTGGGTGTCTTCGTAGTAGGTGGGTCTGGGTGTCTTCGTAGTAGGTGGGTCTGGGTGTCTTCATCGTAGTTGGGTCTGGGTATCTTTGTAGTTGTTGGGTCTGGGTGTCTTCGTAGAAGGTGGGTCTGGGTGTCTTCGTAGTAGGTGGGTCTGGGTGTCTTCGTAGTAGGTGGGTCTGGGTGTCTCTTGGTAGTAGCGTCTGGGTGTCTCTTGTTAGGCGAGTCTGGGTGTCTCATTGTAGGTGGGTCTGGGTGTCTCGTAGTAGGTGGGTCTGGGTGTCTTCGTAGTAGGTGGGTCTGGGTGTCTTCGTAATTGGTGGGTCTGGGTGTCTTCGTAGGAGGTGGGTCTGGGTGTCTTCATAGTAGGTGGGTCTGGGTGTCTCATTGTTGGTGGGTCTGGGGGTCTTCGTAGTAGGTGGGTCTGGGTGTCTTCGTAGTAGGTGGGTCTGGGTGTCTTCGTAGTAGGTGGGTCTGGGTGTCTTCGTAGTAGGTGGGTCTGGGTGTCTTTGTAGTTGATGGGTCTGGGGGTCTTCGTAGTAGGTGGGTCTGGGTGTCTTCGTAGTAGGTGGGTCTGGGTGTCTTCGTAGTAGGTGGGTCTGGGTGTCTTCATCGTAGTTGGGTCTGGGTATCTTTGTAGTTGTTGGGTCTGGGTGTCTTCGTAGAAGGTGGGTCTGGGTGTCTTCGTAGTAGGTGGGTCTGGGTGTCTTCGTAGTAGGTGGGTCTGGGTGTCTCTTGGTAGTAGCGTCTGGGTGTCTCTTGTTAGGCGAGTCTGGGTGTCTCATTGTAGGTGGGTCTGGGTGTCTCGTAGTAGGTGGGTCTGGGTGTCTTCGTAGTAGGTGGGTCTGGGTGTCTTCGTAATTGGTGGGTCTGGGTGTCTTCGTAGGAGGTGGGTCTGGGTGTCTTCATAGTAGGTGGGTCTGGGTGTCTCATTGTTGGTGGGTCTGGGGGTCTTCGTAGTAGGTGGGTCTGGGTGTCTTCGTAGTAGGTGGGTCTGGGTGTCTTCGTAGTAGGTGGGTCTGGGTGTCTTCGTAGTAGGTGGGTCTGGGTGTCTTTGTAGTTGATGGGTCTGGGGGTCTTCGTAGTAGGTGGGTCTGGGTGTCTTCGTAGTAGGTGGGTCTGGGTGTCTTCTAGTAGGTGGGTCTGGGTGTCTTTGTAGTTGTTGGGTCTGGGTGTCTTCGTAGTAGGTGGGTCTGGGTGTCTCATTGTAGGTGGGTCTGGGTGTCTCGTAGTAGGTGGGTCTGGGTGTCTCGTAGTAGGTGGGTCTGGGTGTCTTCGTAGTAGGTGGGTCTGGGTGTCTCGTAATAGGTGGGTCTGGGTGTCTTCGTAGTAGGTGGGTCTGGGTGTCTTCGTAGTAGGTGGGTCTGGGTGTCTTCGTAGTAGGTGGGTCTGGGTGTCTGGTAGTAGGTGGGTCTGGGTGTCTGGTAGTAGGTGGGTCTGGGTGTCTTCGTAGTAGGTGGGTCTGGGTGTCTTCATAGTAGTTGGGTCTGGGTGTCTTCGTAGTAGGAGGGTCTGGGTGTCTTCGTAGTAGGTTGGTCTGGGTGTCTTCGTAGTTGTTGGGTCTGGGTGTCTTCGTAGTAGGTGGGTCTGGGTGTCTTCGTAGTAGGTGGGTCTGGGTGTCTCATTGTTGGTGGGTCTGGGTGTCTTCGTAGTAGGTGGGTCTGGGTGTCTTCGTAGTTGTTGGGTCTGGGTGTCTTCGTAGTAGGTGGGTCTGGGTGTCTCATTGTTGGTGGGTCTGGGTGTCTTCGTAGTAGGTGGGTCTGGGTGTCTTCATAGTTGTTTGGTCTGGGTGTCTTCGTAGTAGGTGGGTCTGGGTGTCTTCGTAGTTGTTGGGTCTGGGTGTCTTCGTAGTAGGTGGGTCTTAGTTGTCTTCGTAGTAGGTGGGTCTGGGTGTCTCATTGTTGGTGGGTCTGGGTGTCTTCGTAGTAGGTGGGTCTGGGTGTCTTCGTACTTGTTGGGTCTGGGTGTCTTCGTAGTAGGTGGGTCTTAGTTGTCTTCGTAGTAGGTGGGTCTGGGTGTCTTCGTAGTAGGTGGGTCTGGGTGTCTTCGTAGTTGTTGGGTGATGGGTGTCTTCGTAGTAGGTCGGTCTGGGTGTCTTCGTAGTAGGTCGGTCTGGGTGTCTTCGTAGTTGTTGGGTCTTGGTGTCTTCGTAGTAGGTGGGTCTGGGTGTCTTGTAGTAGGTGAGTTTTGGTTTCTCTAAGTGGTGTTGATATGTGAATCTGTGTTCGTTAGGGTGTCTGTCTGGAATAATGTAGTAGGTGAAGCTAGTTAGAAGTTAGCAGTCAGTAATTAGTACCAGTTATAAGGTACAATTTATTAACCTATTTTTGCCATATCAAGCACTGAACACCTACCAAATTAAGAAATAAATGGCGAGTGAGGGTTGTTTATCATACAGTAAAACACTGCAGGGAGAATAAACCATGAGCGGTGCAGCCCCGAGTGGTTTATTCTCCCTGCAGTGTTTTATTGTACGATAAGCAACAACCACGAGTCGCTTATTTCTTATGGGAGTTATCAGCATGATGTACAGTCGCTTTAAGGTTGATGATAAGATGTACAAGCTTTAAAAATATACACCCGTATTAAAATAAAGATGACTCCCACAATAGAGTCCATCCTCGGCAATGTTTAACAAGTCCATTTTATGCACAGGTGGGTATTTCTTGCATATTCTAACAATCCTCACGTCAGTTACCTGTACCTTTTCTCCCAATACTGATTGCCGTGTCTCTCCTACTTTTGGATGCAATGGTTCGGCCATTGCGTATATCTGCGTTGCCCAGGTACATCTATGGGGAACAATTCACTAGACACTCCCCTCTCAAAAATAACTTGCTCCGATATATGATGTCATCAAGTTGCAAGCGCATGTCAGAAATGACGGCATGAGAGAACACATTTTATCGTTAAATACACCACACTTTGTTCTTCATTGTACTTTGCTATTTATTGTGTAGCTTTCTTTAATGATCAAATAATATCTTTTCTCCCCTTCTGTATTCAAAACTTTGCATGGATGCCACAGTGTTCAAATTAAGGGTATTCCTCGAAATCATTGAGGTTTGCTCCCATAGTATTTGAATCTAGGTTCCCACTGGAGTTTCAGCCATTAACACTGAGGTTATGACAAAGACCCCGACACTTTCAAGCTATTTTGGGAACATTGTTGATCTTGTTTCAGGTTCGATGCCATACATATTCATCTGTGTCCAGACTGGCTGTGTTCTGTCTCAGATCAGATCTCTGGATGAGATCTTCACATTATGGACGATGGCCAAGCTGTGTGGAATAGCCATTGTGGCCCTCTTGCCTGGCTTTCTTATAAAGAAGCATTGTGCCAAGCAAAAAAAGAAAGAGTAGTGTAGCATGTGATGATTATAATATTATGAACCGATGAGGGTTTTGGAAGACGAGAGAAGTTACACTTGCCCATCCTGCAGGATTCACAATTGTCTCCCACTGTCACAGTATTTCAAGACAATATATAGTTTCTTGTTGCCATTTCCAAATGAAACCACTGAATTGAAACATATGTAGGCAAAGAATTGTGAATAGAAATAAGTATGATCAGTATTTGATAAAATCATTATCAAACAATGCTGAAAGGAATGTTTTACAAATGTTGCAGAAACATGTATCTATTTCCCTTCTTTTATTTATTACCATCACTATATCTACTACAAAATTGTTAGAATGTGAGTTACTGTGAAAATGCTGGTCACTTCTCATATTTCACATATTTTGCACCAAGGAAGCTATGTACAGAGATGTTTGTGAATTAGCTGTCATTTGATGTTTGAAAAACAAATTGAGTGTTTGATGCAATTTCATTAAAATCAGATCTTAGTTCTCGCTACTGCTAAACAAAGATCTGAGGACATCCCATTACGGGTCATGTCAGACAGCCCTTGCGTGAACTTTGACCGACCAATGGATTGACCAATCAGAAGGGAGCTTTCTCGTGCTTTACGGCACTAATTTCCAATAGGCGACTACGCTTTGAAACATATTTTGACAAATTCTCGATAACAAATTTGAAACCTGAACAAAATATGTTCTGGAATGGCAAATAGATGGTCTAGATTGTATGGATACAGTTGTTAAACCCGTAACTATCGTTCAGAATACCCTGTGTTAATGTTTTTTCGAGGTTGTATGATTAGAAATCACATTCCGACTGTCACTTTCATAATCTGGTAAGTCACGCTCTGATTAGTCGGATGAAAGGTCGTTCTGACGTGATGTGTTCAGATCTTTGTTTAGCGGTAGCGAGAACTAAGGTCTGATTATAAAGAGATTGGTGTTTGATGTGACTACTAATTATGGGATATTTTTCCATTCAAGCATTCATTGGCTCGTTAAAATTTATGAATGGTAACATGGAATTCAAAACATTGACCACCACTGAAGAAAGATAGTGCCAATATCAAAGGGAGATAATCGTACTAAGTTGTCTGCTCTTTGACCATTGCTTGTTGCCTGTTTATCTGTTTACGGCACAAGATTTTGAGTGTAGACAGGGAATGTGTTTCTTTTACCAATGTTTTGTTGCATTTACTCATTAAGAAATATTTTGCCTATGCTATTAACCTGATGTAATGGTGGTTGCTTTTTTCAACCCCAAAGTATGTTTAATTGAATGCTGTATCCATGCATATGCTGACACCCTATTTCATCTGAGAGCTAACATTTTTCTTTCAGCTCTCTTTGTGATGTTGGAAGTATTCTGTACATGATCCATTGGATGACTTTCCTTACCTAATGTGTATCATGTAATTGTACTGGGATGTAATTTCAATGTATATGTGAAATGTTAAGAATTGTTACTTTGGAGAAAATTAAATGTTTTTTACAAATTTGTACAAATAAATCATGTTTATATACAAAGCACAGTTAGGTTATGTATATATTTACATCATTATGTCGTCCTATTACTGCAGTGTGTCTGGCAAAAGTCCATAGGCCGATTTGATTATCAACCATTTCCAAGTTTGTTGTATTACTAGCTCTTGCCCTGAAGGGGATGAAGTGCCTGAAAAGAGAGGTGAGTGTGGCCTGAGGGGGGTGAGGGTGTTCTGAGGGGGGTGAGGGTGGCCTGAGGGGGGTGAGGGGGTTCTGAGGGATGTGAGAGTGTTCTGAGGGGGGTGAGGGTGGCCTGAGGGGGGTGAGTGTGTTCTGAGGGTGGCCTGAGGGGGGTGAGTGTGTTCTGAGGGATGTGAGAGTGTTCTGAAGGGGGTGAGTGTGTTCTGAGGGGGGGTGAGGGTGTTAGGAAGGGAGGTGAGGGGAAGGGAATTTGAGGTGTCCCAGTAGGATTAGGAGGGAAATGATGCTTCATGTGAATGATACTGAATCTTGTCTCGCATGTATCTTGTGTCCAGTGTGGAATGGAAACAACAAAGATCCAGTTTGACCTCTTGTTATTTATTTACTTCACAACAGATTGCATATTAATATCATATTTACATATGCACAAATAATCTCTACATGACTCTGGAATGTACAATAGTCTATGCAACAGAGAGCAGAAAAATCTTCAAAATTAACAAGACAAGCACAAACCAATTCAAAGGTAGTAATACAGATCTAGGTTACTATTCATATTTTATTACTCAAAAGGTAATACAAAATATCACCCAGGAAAACAACCCTGTGAATAAAATTATTTCAGGAATGGACCATTTGAGGTAATATTTGGACAAATTAACAAATTCAGTAACATTTCCGTTGTTTATTTCCCTGTGCAACAATTTTTTAGGACAAGCCTTTGTTTGGTTTTAATTATATTTTAATCTTGTGTCAAAAATAGTAAGTTTGCAATGACTTGTGTAACATTTTGCAGATCAAATGGGGTTTTATCAACCAATACACTTTTACTACAGTTTGGCATTTTAAACATGTTCATTTCATTCATAAATAATAACTGATGATGATGAGAACTTGTGATCCTAAAACAATAGCTTCATTACTAAATCTACTGATAAACAAAATATTTTCATTTCCTGATTTGAGTTCTTTCATAAAACACAAGCAACGATGTATTGTCATGGTTACCAAATCCATCAAACAGGAAAATAATTGGTATGTATTTGTATAAAAAATCACTTCCTAACAAAATATGTTCTTAACAGTGGACTGAAACAGGTAATTGCTCCAAACAAATTGAAGTTATGCACCCTTCATGATTAGTCGGCATGATTTTATTATTGTTATATTTGAAATTAACACTGAATAGTTTAATTATGTTTTTGCATCCTGTATTAATGTGGTTTAGTAATATTCATTGTGAGCCAGATCATGTAGACTACAAGTGTCCCTAGTAGCATCAGTAGCCATCACCAAAAACAGTCTACAAGAGACAAAAGAGAATGTTTTTATAAATACTGTGAACAATTGTACAGTCCTGATATGCTATGAAAATTACAAAATGCCATGGGACCAGCCCTGATCATGTATATTAAACAAGTACAAAATGATAACTTTGATTATAACCTATTGTTAATCCTGTATGTGACAATGGATTCCACTAATCCATTATGTGACAAAGGATTATGGCTAATCCTTTGAAAATGGATTATACTTGATGGATTTTTGTTATGTGAAATGTATGTGAATAAGATAAATAATTTGAAAATAAATATGATATAAGGATATGTTGAAGTATAAGGAACAAAAACAAATTAAAAACAGATATGGTCCAAATAAGAAACTGATACAAAAATATCGGAAACTAGAGACAAAAACAAAACTGCAACAATGGTTTGGGTACTGTCAATGTAAATGACTGATATGGATATGGTTCTTTAAAAATTGTATCTGTTAATTGAATACAATAATTTGGATGAAACTATCAATTCTTTACATACAACAAGAATGCTGTCACTTGTCAATGTTTGAATTAAGTAAGAAACCCTTCTAAATATGGCTTTGTTATGCAGAAATCCCTGGGTTCCTTTCAACACTGTTCATAAAATGTCAACAACGAGATCATGGGAAAAACAAAATCATAGGCAATGATACCGTAATGGTAAAACGAAAAATAATGGATAGATATAATACTTCAAACCAAAATAATTCTTTGGTGTTAGTAAAACTGTATTTCTGAAAGATATACCAGTAATGTTGACTTAGTCTCACATTATATCAACCTATTTCTAAAATTATTTCTACTATTTTTGGTACTGTCCTAATTCGAGTATTTTTCCCAATAAATTTTCTCTTCCATTATCATTTTGTTTCTTTGTACAACTTTCTACTATCTGTTCAAGAAAACTAGAAAATGCCAAAACAAAGATGTGGTTGAAAAGGAAGAAAACAATTAAAGGAGAAACGAACACACGGTGTATGATGAAATACTGATATGTGACTGACTCAGAAACGTATGTTGTAATACATACTTGAAAAGTAAAAATATATCTGATGCACTCTGAAAACAGAGTAGTTAATAGCATCAAAAGCACTTTTCCATGAGAAAAATAAAGGTGTGATATTCGATGGATGATGAACCAAACAAAACTTAAACAAATTTTTTAAAAACAAAACACTCTCTGTACATCCCTTACATATCCTTCTGCTTCACTTTGAGAGGTCCAGTTGAAAGTTTTTTAATATATTTCATATCAAATTTGGTACACACTGAAACAGTAATCAAATACCAAGTAACATGTTGAAGCAAGTTGAAGGAATGTATCAAGATATTATTGCACAAAATGTGTTATTGAAATCACAGACTGAAACTATTGCATTGTACACAACAGTCATTTTGCCATGCCTACCTTGATAGTTATCTCTCTTAGTATTGTCCTTAAAAGAGTTATTTCCCTTCTACTTTAAAACTGTTCAGTGTTTTCATCAGCATCTAGCCTTTCTTGAATTACTTTATGTCAAGGCTACCTGGACCTCTCAAACCAAACAAATCAGGTCATTCTCAAACCATCTCCAAAGAAATATTGCCGTGTCTAGTTTAGCAATAACCATTTCTCAAAGATGCAAGGTATGGTAGACTGTATAGACATGTATAATTGATCTCAAAGATGCAAGGTATGGTAGACTGTATACACATGTATAATTGATCTCAAATGCAACAAACTACTCATTATTTTCTCCCCAAATCCAGTAATCAGGAATTCATCAGAAGTACTTTTCTTCCTACTTCATGTACAAAGCAAGAAGGCCCAAATACTGTCTTTCTTTTTATGTCATACATGTTACTGCCAACATGCCTTTGATATGTGTTGACTCAAATCTTATTAAAATTCAGATGTCAGTGCTTGCTACCACTATGGAAAGATCTGAGGGCATCCCAGGTCATGTCAGAAAAACCTTTTGTGAACTTTGACCGAACTAGAAGTCAACATTAGCCAATCAGATAGCAGTTTCTGTAGCTTTTTGGTGCTAGTTTCAAGCTGGCAACTTCCATTCCATAAAGATCTGGAACAGATGGCCGAAATTGTATGGCCATACTTCTCATGGGCTATGGAAAGTTTGAAATGCTTATCCCTTTGAAGCGAGAGACAAGACGGAATCAGTCGTACAAGCCGTAACTGTTGTTCGAGGTTGCATGATCAGAAAGCACATTCCAACTGTCACTTTGCCAATCTGGTAAGCGATGCTGGAATTAAAGGTTGCTAATGGTTTTTGCTTAGCAGTAGCAAGCACAAATGTCTGATTTTAATGACATTGGTTGAGATTTACTGCCCAATATGGATAAAACGAGCAGGTATTTGCACAAATGAGATGATAACAAGGAGCTACAAGACCATATGGAGTTGGTTTGAGAACAGCCTGTCATTCTACGACTATCGCAGCTATCCATCAATAAACAACAAACACACTCTGGAAGCGGGCTGAGTACACAGTCAACATGGTCAGCTGCCTTCACCTGTGGCACATGATGGAGTCTGTCTACACTACAAGGCAGGCACCTGCAGCAGCACTCTGCTCCTGTAACTACCAACTCTTTCCCATTATCTAGCAAAGATTTACTTCAAATTTGATATATCCACTTATAGAACACGGAATCTTTTCCCTCACATGTTTTTGTGTCTGATGTTACTACTGTTTGTCACCTTAACATGTTTCCAACTGTATTTATCTCATGGTTACAACTGGAACATGGACTCTACCAGCCTCAAGTTCTGCTTCTTCCATGTTTTAAGAATATACTTTTGACAGATGTGCTGTCATAAGCTAAGAATTCAGACTGAAGTAGGTTTTACTAGATTCTGGCTTCTGACTAGCAGGAAAATCTCAAATGCTGTTTCTGTTGGAGAAAGATTATGAGTTTCTTATATAAACTTTGTGTCTGTGTTTACTTCTGTGAAACACTCCATTTAATACCTAACTGTAGTGTACACAGACCCACAAAACTGATGTTGAGTTAAACGGGAGGATATTGATAAAGCTTTGACACACAAAAAACATCAACAAAACAAGAAAATGCACCAAATGCATGGACTTTCATCCAATCAGAAATGCTGACACAGCAAAAAAAATGGGACACGCTATCTGATTGGATGAGAGTTTGGTGTCAATAACAATGTCAATCATCACTGAAAATGACATGGTAACTTGCTTTGATATGGACATGATATACAGAACAATTGCAGCTTTAACCTGGCAGAAAAATACAAAGGGGTTTATACATTCAGATGGTCGTTTGTTACTTTTGGTCATTTTTGTATTTTTTGTGTTTTTTAAGCATTATGCACAAGAATTTTGAGCAATATTACCCCTTTGAACTTTGCTGCAAAATCTACAAATGATGGTGTATTGTAGAGATCATATCTGCAACCAATTCACAGAAACATTGACAGCCATTTGTTACCTATATCATTGGATCAACAACAAAGTTTATTTTTGTTTGTGAAGATTTGTTTGTCTTTCTACTCCCATTGTCTATGTGTCAATCTAACACTGCACTTGCTAAATTAGGTAACAATCATTTAGCAAAGACCTTTTATAATTGCTGTAGAATTTACCTTTTCAAAGTTCAACTTCACAGCTAACTTCAGAAAATTTAAGATAATAACATGGATAAACAAGTTAAAATTGACGATCACAAAACACCTGCAATCGAAAACCCTGGGAAATCCATGTGTGAACACTCATAACATCCCACTCAACCATGTCTGTTTCACTGCTGTCGGTAAAATATATCATTAATCCTTCAGTATTTCCACAATTATTACCTACTCATGTCAATGTTTTAAAATCCCTGTCAAAGCATGATCACTCAATGTGATATTCCATAATCAATAAACAATCCAACAACTTCTGCAGCAAAGTCCTCTGAGCCAGAAACTCCACAAAATTCAGTAGGTCCCTCATCACATATGTCTGTGGATCCGGAAATGATGCCCACAAGCCGGCAAATTGACAAACATGACCAACCGTGCACTTGTATAGCGTCAGTACATTGGCACTGTTTCAACAAGCTCACAGGCGAAAGTTAAGCAGTAAAAGGAAAATATCACTGAGTTCAAATGATCCTGAGGCAGAAAACACTGGTCCCATACCTTGCAAGTCCTCCTCACAGAGTGTTCCATTGTCACACTCTTTGAAACATTATGACAAGGAAATCAAAACAATATGGGACTGGAATATCCATAATTTGATTCCACCAACAAAAAACTTGAATATGCCCGACAGCAAAACTAGATTCAAGTCTACAAGGTAAGAAATTGCTTCCTTCTTTTCTTGTTTTTCAACAAGATGATGCAAGCAGATATCAAAACGTGTGACACAATTTGAAGGTCCTATTCTTCTAACTGGCGAAAGTCGTGTGACTATCGTCAATGCTGCCTCTCTCAAAACAAAGTCTTTTCCAAAATGAAAACCCTTGGCTACCACTGCTTCTTTTCAAAGGATCGTTTTCTCTGAACTGTTGATACAGTTGAATTGGAGCACTCATCAGAGTCAGAACTGGAATCTGAACGAGGGTTCTGAAAAGAAAAACATCCTTTGATTCATTAAACACAATACACATATCATCTGATCAGTAAATAACCAGTGTACCAAATGCATTTTGTACATCTTGTTATTAGTTATACAAACTGACTTAAGTTGAGGTCATCGATAAGAATTATTACCAAAATGGAGCTCTGAATGTCACAGAAAAATGACACAAACTTCATCCAAGGTTTAGATCCCCATCAATAAATACAAGAGATGGGTCACTGCATGGTTACAAATGACAAAGCTTTGCATAAAGTTGTACCCATTAGCTACCTGGATCCTTTGATCTACCAGATTTCACCTGACATGACGGTGAACATCTATACCTACTGCTGCTGAAACACTAAATAGCAACATTAAACCACAAGTCACTCCCTTAAGTTTTAATATGATTTGCTGTCTATAACATACCTCATATATCCTCTCTGGGGGTGATGAAACTTGGCTCTTCATCTTCCTGACAGTCATCTCGCGGTCCGACAGTCCATCGGAGGCGTATGTACACTTGGCTAGTTCCATCTGGAGGTTTTCGGCGCTGTTGGTGGACATAAGCCCCATGTTATGTGACACCTCGCTTGTGTTCTCCTCCTCCTCCTCCTCTGAGAACACACCTCCCTCGGAGCTGAGCGTGGATATAGACTGACGACACAGGTTCCGTCGCCGGGCTTCATCCTCGCTTACCTCCCCTTCTTCTTCTGACGTTGTGTCTGCTGAATGCTGTACACAAAATGAATTCAGTTTATGCATGTCAAATTGGAAAGTACTCATAAGATTACAAGAAAACTGTTTTCACAGAAATGTTTTCTGATAATAGACACAAGACCTTGAAATTGTTTGAAATGTGGAATAAATTAAATATGACACCACATAAATGTATATATGAGTATCCTTTTTGTTCAGTGTCTTCCACCATATGCCAAAGTGGTTAGCTACCATTATGAAAACAGTGGTATCATATCAACAGTAAAACTAGACTCCATTATCTGGATGACCCACTCAAACACTCTGCATGATTTCCCAAACATTTCAAGTGACTTGGTTTTTCATCTCTTTATCTATTGATCAGTGTCTTAAACCTCCTTGAAACTAACCTTGACATTTCTGAATTTAACTGCAACTTTCTTGTCAGACTTGTCTCGTAGCCTCGGCAGATTTGGTGACAAACATTTTGGCGAAATTTCTGGATCACTTCTCGTCCTCTTCATTGATACAGACACAGTTTTTTGGGCATTTTCTAACACTGAGTTGTCTGCCCTATGTCCTACTGTATTATCAGCTGTGATGATAATAGTATCCTCACTTGTAATTTCCTTAATGTCTTTGATATCTATATCTGCTGTGTCGATGGGACAATTCAGATTTTCATTCGAGTCTTTTTCTAGAATTGTTGTTTTTGATTGAAAGTCAGGCTGATTGGTGTTTTCAACCTCGACAATATTATACACTTGGTGAACTTGATGTCGTGGGCTATTACATGGCGAGTCACACGTATTGCTTTCAACATCCGCGCTGACCTGACTTGACCTCTTGCTGCTGCATGTGATATCACTACATCCTCCATCACACCCAAAACAAACATCGTTCAAATTACGCTCATCTAAATTCTGATTCTTGTTCTTATCAGGACAGTCCGATTCATTTTTCTTTTCTCTTCTCACAGCCAAACCTGGGCCTGGATGCAAAGTCACCCGTTTAGTTTTTGATTCATCTTGACTTGAGTCCTTCGATGGGCTTCGTATAGGCGAGGTAATGTCCTTCAGCGATCCACGGCTGTTGCTGCGCCGGTGACGATTCTTTCGGTAGCGCATTTTTGTGGGTGATGGAAGAACTTGTTCAGAACTGGTGGTCATGCTACCTTCAGTCTTCTGCGAGTCCGGACTGAAGAAGATGGCAAGTAAACTAATTACAATTCAATTCAAATCATAATTCGTGTTACACAGCATTAACTTTAGATACCTTATAGATTTTGTATACTCCCCAGCAAGCTCAGAATGCAGTTTGATTGCACACAAATACCTAGACATGTAATGATGTCATACACAGAGAGAAGACACACGTGGTGTTGAGTCTGGCACTTTGTAAGTGGCCTATTATTACTTTATTCAAATACTCAATATATAGAAATAAGTACAATACACAAATCCACACACTCCTCAATGTATCTACTGATCTCATGCATTCCAACACTTCATGGGTTCTTCAGTGCCTGCATGGAGCTTGCACTTACTGAATCACATTCTCAAAACTGTTCTCATGGTTTATAAACATTGGTATGAGATTACACTGATCCCGACACATGCTATAGTACACACTGACAGATCTACCTTGCAGGGTCAGAAGATCTGTAGCATCTCTTCTTCCCAATTCTATCTAGCTTCTCCTGGGCTTTGATGATTGGACGGACAATACTTTTCCGTCGCTTTGAGTACAACGCCAGCATCTGTTCTCTCCTTTAAGAAACAATTATGTACATTTGATAAACCAATTGCAGGAACTGAGGTATCATGTGTTTACATGAACACCTCTTGATCAGTCACTGGTCACAACACTGACAAGGACATGAACTAGGGACTTGATATTACAACATTCTCACCAAATAACAATGTCATGAAAATCGTTTCAAAATCACTAGAATTTGTTAATGTTTTTTATCATACCAACTTGTATTTGTCCAACATACGACAGATACAAGTCGAATGCATCATGGTAACAGATGAACAGCCAACAGTAGAAGGACTTACTTGATCAGCTCTCGTTCCCTCTTCTCGAGCTGCAACATGCACGCTGTTAGCTCCATGTACAGGTTGTTGGCTCGCTCCAACTTCCGCTCATAGTGCTCCCGCACATCCTGGGCATGTCTGCAACAACACACATATTCCTTCAGACCAAATACTGACAGTATAGATAAGGTTACTCATACAAGTTTCCCCCTGAATGAGAATGCAGATGAGCCACAATATATTTCTGAATGGGTAAAAGACTATGCTACAGTCAGCACCTGGCTCTGCTCATTCATGCAATAGTACTTGTCACTTGCTGTTACTAGTTCCCCTAGTTTCCTTCACACATTTTGATTACAATGTAGTTTTGACAGATTTGTGATGTATGTCCATCCTGTTACCTGAGTTCTTCCTTCCTGCGCCGGATGAGTTCCTCTTCCAGCTGAGGAAAGTGGGACCCCTCGGATCGCATCTTCATGAAGAGCTCCCGGATCTCTTCCTGCCACTTTACCTGCAGATAAGGAGACATACACAATTTCAATCCATTAGAATATAAACTTATCTCAACTAGTCAGGCAGAGAAGTAGCAATAACAAAATTAATTGTAACCACTGTGTTCCGACCTATCCTGAACACTTTTACCGAACATCATCTCATCCTATCCCAGCAGCCTAGACATGGTCAGACTTGAGTTACCTGCTCTTCCATGAAGTCCTCCCGGCTGTAGTTGAGTAGCTCTGGGGATGCTATCTCCAGATGCATCAACACCTGCCGGAACGATGGCCGATTGCGGGGCTTGGCACTCCTGGAAATACAGGCGATACATGACATATCTATTGGTAACCATGGTCATAAATCACTTTCACGCCATACACATGGATGTACATTTGTTATTTATCATGAGGAGTCCTGAGGACTCAATGCCTAAAAAAGAAATTCTAGCAAGACACATTTATATGTTACAATGTAAACGAAAGTTGTATATATAAAACCCCATGGATATTAACATATTATATAGCAAATATGCCTAGGATACCAAATAAAATCCCAGGGATATTATATAAAATCCTGGAAATAATACAACAGACTTAAACCGACCGGAGAACAATAGGATGATGTCAGTGGAGGTTAGTAAGTACTATAATGTGCCAGTCTTGAAGTTTTATGAATATATGACGCAGAAATCCGTGTCCAGTAAATCCCTGCATACCTGACTTTCATGACACTATTTCTATAATCTACATCATACAGTATTGAAGCTCTAAATGCATGTGACTGCATGTTCGTAACCTTTATTCCCTTTGATGTACTGTGTGACCAAATCGCCACCCCATGACTATCAACAGAACATCCAAGTCAAAGGATTGTTACCAGATTTTTATTTGCCAGAACCAATCAAAGAGGAGAACTGTGAAGAGAGCTGTGAGATGCGTCTTACCAACAGAGCCTCATGAGCAACTGGAAGCCCTCAGGGCAGGTTGACGGCACCGGGAGGTGAAGGCTGTTGCTGCCCACGCCCCAGATGATGGCCGACGAGTCAACATCCCGATAAGGAATCTCTCCAGTCAGCAACTCCCACACCACCACACCAAACGACCTGGAAACAGACACACATGGAATCTCAACATAGAAGATACAAGAAATCTCTTCATGCATATGTTCAACAGGAATCAGCGATGTGAAGGCAATGAGTTCTTGGAATGTTCAACCACTCCTTTACCATATCACAGGAACATCAGTTAAAATGATCTCCATGCTGACATACCAGATGTCCACTTTCTCCGAACAGGGTTCATTCCTGATGACTTCAGGCGCCATCCAGGCAACGGTCCCAGCAAACGACATTTTGGTGCTCTTCTCATTCCACTCTCGGCTCGTGCCGAAGTCCGAGATCTTCACCACATTATTACTGGCCACTAACACGCTGCAAAACAAAACATCCCACTCTATACCACAGCAATAATTATTATGATGTAAATGTCCTGATTAGAGGATTGTTAGAACATAATCCAAACAGAGTGAGTACATCAGCTGATAAGTGCAAGATCTTTGGTACACTGCTAGACGGTGTCTTAAAAACAGGAGCACTATTGATGAAGAGAATTTTCAGTATTGCCAAATGAGAATAATGGTATAATGATGACAAAATAAAATAAAAATCTAATTCACAGTTTGGAAACACAACAGGAAATGTTTTGCGACATCCCTAGAAAATATATTACTCAATACAACAGCTCAATAACCAATATCATATCTAGGATACTGTCATAACTTACTTGGGTGACTTTAGATCCCGGTGTATGATCTTGTGTGAATGGAGGTAGTTCATTCCACTGGCAATCTGTTTGGTCCAGTCCAGTATGAGTGTGGGCGGTATTTCCTTGCCATCACGAAGCAACTCATACAGCTGTCCATAAGGGCAGTACTCCATGATGATACAGTAGCAGGGCGCCTGCGTACATACTCCCCTGTAACAAGCATATATGCATCAGCTCTAGGCTACACCAGCAGTGGTATCTTGGGATATCATTACTCACACTGAGAAGGCACAGAAAGCACTGCAGCCTAGCTGTTCTTTCCCAACCAATCTCTCAAGTGGAAATTTAAGTGCCAAAAAAATCTCATTTTTATATTTCAAATGACATTACTTCACTTTGGACTGATGTAATATCATGCAGAATAGTCATCTGGAGGAATGTTATACAGAATAGTCGACTGGGGGAATGTTATACAGAATAGTCACCTGGTGGAATGTTATACAGAATAATCACCTGGTGGAATGTTACACAGAATAGTCACCTGGAGGAATGTTATAAAATGAAGGTGGAGTGTTATAGTATTTTAGATATATTTACCAACAAACTGATTGACATCACATAAAATGAATTTCTATAGACTGTGGTTTCCCCAGCATTGAGGTATTGCTACAGTACTCACTTGAAAGCAATGATGTTCGGGTGGTTGAGTTTGCGGAGATTGCGGATGTCTGTCTCCTTGACGTCGCGGACCTTCTTGACTGCTACCTCCTCTCCTGTCAACTTTCCCAGGAACACAGCACCCTGCGCCCCGCTCCCCAACCACTGCAGGTCAGTGATGTTCTCAAAAGGAATCTCCCAGTCATCTAGAGAAGAGGACCCTTACATGAATAACTCACATTAGAAGAAGGGCAGAATAATGTCATCATAATTGAGGATGGTGCCACTTTAAGCAATATTCCAGCAATATCACAGCAGGAGACACATAAGGGGCTGCACACAATTCACCCATGTAGAGAATAGAGCCCAGTTCTCCAGTGTGACCCGTGAATGATTTATCCAAATAATGTTAAGTATCATTCATTTAGGACACATAACCTTCTGTCAATCAACTGTGGAATAACAGCAGACACGATAAATGATATATCTTCCTCAAACCAGTTTCAAATTATATGAACTAATTCATGGCACACTACATGTACTTCAATGTCATCCTGCACATGTTACATCTCTTCAGCAAAACATAATTACTCCTTGCACTACATCTGCAGGTGACTATCCTACCTTGTTGTTTCAGCTCTGCGGCTGCTGCTTTGCCAATGATGGTCCATACCGGACGGAGGCAGCCCAGCAGCCCCTCAAAGAAACCTCTCTGTGTGCCATCCCGGTAGCCTACGTCCACACTGCCAGATGGATTGTGGATCGGAGTTACCGGTGCCGACCGGGCAAATGTGGGGGATGGCGTGGAGTCTGAGGAGGACTTCTCTGTGAGGCTCAGCTGGTCAACTTCATGCTCCAAGCGGAGCATACTGCAGAGAAAAGGAGAACATTAGTCAAGGTCACACTGTACCAACAGCAAACCTTCCAAACATGCAGTTATATCCCTATATCACAGGGAACAGTTCTAAACTGTCAAGAGTCAGGCAACCAGTGGTTGGTAGCATGAGCAACAATTCAAATCCTTAGTGTAGGTTGACATACAATCAATATAGCATTTATATACTAGCAACCTACTCTGCTTCGGCATCCCCATGGTATCAAAATGTTTTATTGCAGCATTTAAACTATAGCTGCTTGCCCGACCCCTGAAAGAGTTCACATGAGACCTGGCTGTCTAAGTGTGGCAATTTGATGTCCAGAGTTGCATCCCTTCGGCCTACCAGGAACCTATGAATGTGGGTCCAAATCCCAGTTCAATCCAATTAAGTTTCTTTGTCTGTCAGCACCATACCCATGCTGGGTTTCACCAGAGTGGTAAACGTCCAAGACCTGCATCACGTCAGGCTTTCCTCCCACATCAAACTCACTCACTCACTCATAATTGTTTGAGAACAAAGCAAAACTGCTATTTTAGAAGTATATTGTCAAGATGGGGTCACGTTATTCGGTGTGTGGCTGCAATTGGCCAACACAAAATACCAGTTGTATGCAAGTGCTTGCCGATAATTTATTTCACTTGAATTTCAATTTATCAAATGCCGCATGACCCACTTCATCATATCCAACACAGGTTAATTTCAACCAATGAAATTTAGGCCTGAGTAAAAAAAAAGATTTGCATAAAGCCAATTCTAGGAAATCAACAATGGACATGTATGTAAAGTATCTCATTTCATCGTTGAAAAAGTTCTATCACACAGTTTTTATATTGTTATCTGACTGTAGTTATTGTAGCAGCTATTGTACATAATGAAAAATATCCATAGATTTATCCCTGTTATCATGCAATGTAACTTGTCATTGTGAACACTCCTGGTCTCGTGCATGTGTTGCTTATTGGCACAGGTCGCGCACGGCATTCATTGATGTAATGTCACTTATTATGGAGTTGACTGATTGATAAAGCCACCTGATTACAATTACACAATGAAGAAAGAAAAGAGGGATGTTCGATTTGACTACATCTACCGGTCTTTATATATGGTGTCATTTCATTAATTGAAGGAACAAGGCAACACATGTACAGTGATGTTCTTTGTGAAAGAACAAACACTCAACATATTACTAATTTATGACCTCTTCTGTGACATATATGGTATGAGACAGTATATGTGTATGTAATAATTGTTTACTGGTTGACATGGCCAAAATCTTGGTTTCAGATGGTTTTGATAACAGAGATAGGATCACTCGTGGGAAATATCCCAAACTTTGGATAAATGAATCAGATAGGACCCATGGTAGCTACAACACTACTTTTAAAACATGTACATTCCATCGCCTGGCAGATTTGTTCTTCACTGTAGTTCAAACTGTTTGACATTTACTGTCAAACTGTTTGAGGTATAAAAAAAATGAAACTAAAGTAGATAACTTTCCAGTCATTTCAAAGTTTCAAAAGCTACAATAACCATGACAAAAAGAAAACTTACATCAAATTATTTTTTGCTTTGGACAAAGCCAACATTTTGAAACGTTATCATTATCAGAAGTGTAATTCTTAGAATCCCTGTTCCACAGAACGCCTCTCACTGCACAACTCATCTGTGCAATCAGATACTCAATTCCCATCATAAATCTTGCGTGGGGCAAATAGTTATCACCATAAAGATGGCCACAAGATGAGGGAACAACTGCAGCCAAGCTTCTACAGCTTCATAAACAGGAGGCGGCGAGTGAAACAGCTCCTCACTTGGCAGATCAATTTGGATACGTAAATGGAAGAATGCCCATTCTAAAAAACAAAGACGTCATAGGGTGTAAAAGTAACGTCAGTTTTCTGACTTATTGACAGGCACAGTAACTGCAAGCCAAACATGAATAAATCTGATGGACAGATCGTAATACTGACCAGGCTTTCATGGCTGTGGGTGGAAGTGGGTGAGTGAGTGAGTATGGTTTTACGCCACTTTTAGCAATATTCCAGACATATCACAGTGGGGGACACCAGAAATGGGCTTCACACATTGTACCCATGTCAGGAATCGAATCAGGGTCTTTGGCGTGATGAGCTAACACTTTAACCACTAGGGTACCCGACAGCCCCTGTGGGTGGAAGTGGGTGTGGACCCGATCATGTGGGCATCGGTAAGGCTACTTCAAAGAAGTGTTATATTCAAACCTGCTATAGTATCAATATGATAAGTGTGTACTTTCTATGATAGTTCTGTTTATTAATTATGTCTCAAGTGGCAATATCTTGGTGCCATATTGGACTGTTGGCTGCTGAAATTGTACTCCTGTGGCTTTACTTCATTGTTAGATGTCAGTTCAAGTTACAAAAACAATATCAAACAGTACATGATAAACAGGAAAATGAAGCTCCTCATAGAGCATTAAACTTGAGTTTCATGTCCCAAGCTACTGTGCTAGTCACTTCTTCTTCTACAGACTCCAAGAAGACTACACTATCCAGCAACTGTTTTATCCCAGTGGCAAGTAGTCTACCCTGGACCAGGCCAACCAGTGGTTGATAGTGTGAACATGACCCCAGGTCATCATGGTCCTGTGACACATCAAGGTTTTCCATGAAGCCTCCTAGTAGTCCATATGTAGCATCCATTCCTTCTATCAGATCCCCATTTGCTTCATTGAAAATGTTAAGGTTCTAATCACATGTTTTTAGCACACTCCAGTTCATTAAGCTGTGCTGTAACCCTTCCCTCCATAACAGTGAAGACTGTTGTTGTCACACCACCCATGTAATAATCCTGATTGTAACTTTTATTAAATAAATGTGGAACAAAACAACAACAAAAACTTCCTACAAAACAAGAGTGAACATTGTCCCTTGTCAACACCGACATTGATAAATCTACTTTTAGTGGGTTTTTTTCAGTTTATCCAAATTACCAAAGTGAAAACCTGATAACAATATGCAAACCCACTGACAGGACTAATATTTTGTTTTGTTTTTTTGTTTAACGCCGCATTTAGCAATATTCCAGCTATATGACGACGGTCTGTAAATAATTGAATCTGGTTCAGACAATCCAGTGATTGACAACATGTACATCGATCTACACAATTGGGATACGATGTATGCAACAACCAAGTCAGCGAGCCTGATCTCCCAATCCCATCAGTCGTCTCTTATGACAAGCAGTCACCTTTTACGGCAAGCATTAGATGCTGAAGACCTATTCTAACCCAGATCTGCACGGGTCACCAGGGACGGTGCTGCTGCCCTCGTCATGACTAACTTCTTGCCTGTAGAAGTCTATGATCAATAGTGGGAACACATGGATTCATCCTTTAGAGCGACATCTGAGATTGACTTATTCCAAGACAATTTACCCAGCAAGAACATCTTGGCAGATTGATGAACACCAAAATGATGGCTAAATCTTACCAGGGTTTGGCTGTTAGGGCAACATTTACCTAATGAAATTGGTTGTAATTTTGATAGCGTGTAGCATTTGTATGCTTAATCAGCAGCTCCCACAACAGGCAACTGTGAATAGAATGTATTGACGTTCCAGCAGAACAGTGTGAGCATTGAAGGAATTAATGAAATGATCATGGAATCGAGGGTAGCTCCAAAATATGGTTCCTACAATTGATGGAAGGTCCAAGATCAAGGGTCCACTTAAACGGGTCAATTTGATGATTTGGTTTCTCAAATAATTGGATTTCAAGTTGTGGTATCATTCAGCGTAAGTTGAAAAATGATTGTGCTTTGATGTGGAAAGTTTGTCCTTCCTTTCACAAGAAAGTTGTCATCCAGAGAGGTCATTCATCTTCTCATTCAAAATGAGGCTGTCATTTCAAAGACATGAAATGAATGAGATTGAAGATCGAAAACTTGATTTAATTTGAAATTCATTTTCTCATGCCTCTTTTACAGACTAAAGAAGATTAAATTTCGTTTAAAAGGCATGATATAGTTTCAACGAATCTTAATCTAAATCTCCTTAACCTTGCGATCTTTGATTAACAACTGTATAATTCTAGCAGCCACAAGTGGTCCACGCCATGAATATACCCTTGTGAGAGATGACAATATGTATATTTTCTGAAGTCTATTGAAATCCCTCTTCAAATGAAAATAGACACAATAAATTGATCCATGTTTAGATAAATTCTTGATCCCATCATAGCATTACACATCTACATCAGAGGCCCAAAGAGGTTTCGTTAGTCTTTGCTTGAAGGATTGGTTATTGTAACAAACTGAATTATTAAATGCTCTCATTATGGGGATCATGGTAGGCCCAGTCATCTAAGGCGCTGCGATTCATTGTGCAGAATTGTATCTCTTGGGAACGCCAGAAACCTATGATTGTGGGTTCGAATCCCGGTTCGCCCCAATTATGTTTCTAGGTTTGTCAGCACCATACCCGTGCTCGTGGGTTTCATCGAGGTGGTAAACATCTGAGACTCACTCACTCTCATTGTGTTTCTAGTTCGTTGTGAACACAACAAAGAATCACCACATGGTATGTCTCCCAGGGTATGCTCACTTCCTGTTGGATTTTGATTAGGAACCAACAAAAGAAATATTGACTTCATTTGTTTAAGAAGTCTGTAAGATAATAATGTACATATTTAATCTGATCTATTTCAGAAGCTCTTCTTCTACTGGAATAGCTGAATGTTTCCCAGAAATGACTATCAGTACACATGTGTTAAACAGAAAACAAAGTACTTTAGTCCATAAATGAATCTAATCAATATTCTACACTTGAAGGATACCTTGATGCGGTCATGCTGAGATCATTTCTGATATAATGATGGAGAAAATATGTAAACAGCTGTGATAGGAAGTATTGATCATGACAATGAATACTACATCGATCTGACACAGGAATACTACGTCGATCTGACACAGGAATAGTATGTTCATCTGACAATGGAATAGTACGTTTATCTCACACAGGAATGCTCCGTCCATCTGACACAGAAATACTACATTCATCTGACAAGGGAATACTACATTCATCTGACACAGAAATACTACGTTCATCTGAAACAGGAATACTACGTTCATCTGACACAGGAATACTACGTTCATCTGACAATGGAATACTATGTTCATCTGACACAGGAATACTACGTTCATCTGACAGGAATACCACATTCATCTGACACAGAAAAACTACGTTCATCTGACACATGAATACTACGTTCATCTGACACAGGAATACTACTTTCATCTGACACAGGAATACTACATTCATCTGACACAGGAATACTATGTTCATCTGACACAAGAATACTACGTTCATCTGACACAGGAATGCAATGACTCCTATAATGAATATCTGATACAACAAAACTGATCCAAAGAAACCTATATATTGATAACATAATTTGACTTATCAAAACATCAGTTACTTCATCAAAAACTCTTATTCCATATCATGCTGGTGCATCCAATCCCCAAGTGTACCTAGGACACAACACCTAATTGCCCAAGCTTGCCCTAAATCCAATTACTAACCCCGAAGCTCCTGATCGATAAACACATTATGAAACTCACCTATTTGAGAACTCGAAGTCCGAGCTGGCTGTGAGGACATTGAGCATGTTAGGGCTGTTTCTACTGAACATCGGCTCATCTTTCTTGGGTATGTCGATGGCTTTGGAGGTACAGGTTGTCGTGGTCGACATGCTCTGCTGTGTGTACTCGGGTTGGGCATTACGCTCGAGTGTCATCCTGCTCACGCTCACTTAATATAGCACCTTCTGAAACGACAGACAAGATGTTCAATGCTCGGTCAAGTTTCATATACACATACATTACTAAAAGGATTGTCTCATTCCTTACACCCTGATAGGGTCAGCTGACAGATGGTCAGATGTCTCCATCTCGGTACTAGAGTATGAAACTGTCCAAGTATGACTGCATGGAAGTCTTCAATTAATCAGCCATGCTGCAACAACTGACAATGACAAACTACATGATGGAGTTCATTTGTGTAACAACAAAACTCATTTTTCATTGAAACTTTTGCAGAATTAAGAAACCAGAACACAATTTCTTTTCTCATCAATATGATTCTGAAATACAGTGCATACTGTTCTCTGTCCAACTCAAGTCAATTACTTTCAGAAACAGATTTAACATTACTAGTCTATCAGCAAATAAAAGTGACAAAACCCTTTGCTAAAAGCAGAGTTGATTTTACAATTCCAACCATATCATAAGTATGTGTTTATGAATCACTATCAAATTGTGATGATACCAGATGTTCACAAAAAGATCAGCATATCCTGCCCCACCTATGGAACCCATCACAAACACATGCAAAGGCAAGTCAATTGTTCACCTAAAAAAAGACGGGAACATTTGGTACAAGTCAAAATAAGAAATTGCATCGGACATATTTTTGTTGCTGATTTGGACATGTTCTCCACATGTCTACCATAAAACTCCTCGAAAGCTTAATTAAGGCCTTGAATGTAGTAACCTTGATCAAGCAACTTTTGAGCAAGAGCTTTTTAACACTTTTTGAAATCTTTGGAGAAAGAGCATGCTCGATTGTACCTCAAAAGTTTTGAAATGTAGACACATAAGGCTGGAGCTGCAGGAATATTGCTTGACATAAAGGGAAAGTTGACTAATGGACAGTTGAAGACATCCCTCTGGTCATACAGACTTGTGGAGAGTGTCTTGTCTATCCGAATCTTTATGCATAGATCTAAATATGAACAAGTATTTGTCACAGAAGTGACGAAATGTCCCCCGCCTGTATATACACCATAGTACCAAATATGAAGACAATCCAGCGATTAGTTCTTGAGATATCGCGGCAACACCGTTTTCCAACTCCAAAAGCAGATTTGCCTGCTGTGACCTTGAAAATTGGGTCAAGGTCACCAAAACCGACTGGTGTCTGCGGAGTCTGTATATACACCACAGTTCCAAATATGAAGACAATCCTGTGTTTAGTTCTTGAGATATCGCGGCAACAAACAGGTGGGACGTACGGACGGACGTACGGACGTACGTACGGACGGTCGTGAATACTATATCCCCCGCTTCGCGCTTTCGCGCGGCTGGGGACAAAAAGATGAGGTGGTCTTGCTGGTCTCCTTTATATCTAGTTCAGGTGGGTAAATCAGTGGAAGGGAATTGGCTATTTGATGGTCATTGAATGATATCAGATCATGGATATATCTGAAGCTTCTTGGCCAAATTACTTTGTTTTGACTTTGCCAATCCAAGCAGAAATTCCAATTCACATGCATAAACAAACAGATCAGCAAGAAGGGAAGCGCAATTTATGCCCTTTGGGATACCTACTTCTTGTCTAAATGTCTTACCCCAGTAGTTTACATGGATGTTATCAATGAGTAAGTCCAGCATTTCACATATTGCTTTCTCAGTCAGACCATCCTGTTGATTTCTGTTCTACACTGAACACATGCACCTACTTTCAGCACAATCATTATGTGAATGTTGTCAAGTGGATCTGAAAACTGGCAATCTTCTGGTCTAATCAACAAATAATCTTCTTACATAATTGATTTTCCACAAAAGACACTTCTGGGTATTTGACAACACATCATGAATATTCTATTCATTGTATACAGAACTGTATTTGACAGGCCTTTACATCCATTCATTTGCTGTACTATCTCCCAGCCAGACACTTCAGTTGTCATGGGAGCAGCTGACATCAACCAGCCTGAGAGATGCCTGAGGGCCAGAAGCCGGAGAGGGGGTCAGATGCCTGAGGGTCAAATGCCGGAGAGGGGGTCAGATGCCTGAGGGTCAGATGCCGGAGAGATGCCGGAGAGGGGGTCAGATGCCTGAGGGTCAGATGCCGGAGATATGCCTGAGGGTCAGATGCCTGAGGGTCAGATGCCGGAGAGGGTCAGATGCCTGAGAGTCAGATGCTGGAGAGGGTCAGATGCCTGAGAGATGCCCGAGGGTCAGATGCCGGAGAGGGTCATATGCCTGAGAGGGTCAGATGCCTGAGGGTCAGACGCCGGAGAGGGTCAGATGCCTGAGAGATATCTGAGGGTCAGACGCCGGAGAGGGGGTCAGATACCGGAGAGGGTCAGATGCCTGAGAGATGCCTGAGGGTCAGATGCCGGAGAGGGTCAGATGCCTGAAAGGGTCAGATGCCGGAGAGGGTCAGATGCCTGAGAGTCAGATGCCGGAGAGGGTCAGATACCTGAGAGATGCCCGAGGGTCAGATGCCTGAAAGGGTCAGATGCCTGAGGGTCAGACGCCGGAGAGGGTCAGATGCCTGAGAGATATCTAAGGGTCAGACGCCGGAGAGAGGGTCAGATGCCGGAGAGGGTCAGATGCCTGAGAGATGCCTGAGGGTCAGATGCCTGAGAGGGTCAGATGCCTGAAAGGGTCAGATCCCGGAGTTGTCAGATGCCGGAGAGGGTCAGATGCCTGTAAGGGTCAGATGCCTGAGAGGGTCAGATGCCTGAGAAAGGGTCAGATGCCTGAGAGAGTCAGATGCCGGAGAGGGTCAGATGCCTGAAAGGGTCAGATGCCTGAGAGGGTCAGATGCCTGAGAGATGCCTGAGGGTCAGATGCCGGAGAGATGCCGGAGAGATGCCTGAGAGATGCCTGAGGGTCAGATGCCGGAGAGATGCCGGAGAGATGCCGGAGAGGGTCAGATGCCTGAGAGGGTTAGATGCCTGAGAGATGCCTGAGGGTCAGATGCCTGAGAGGGTTAGATGCCTGAGAGATGCCTGAGGGTCAGATGCCTGAGAGGGTCAGATGCCTGAGAGATGCCTGAGAGATGCCTGAGGGTCAGACACTGGAGAGCAGAGCAGAGCAGAGTATCCCATACTGTCCCAAAGTTTGCACCTCCTCAACATTTACACAATTTCCTACACAAAACACTTTCACTCAAGTTTGGTTTCATATTACAAAGATTTCACAAATTTAAGTTCATCAACTTCATTGAACATTTTCTTAGACATTTCATAGACTTCATTACTTTGGTGAAATCCAGGAGCATGATGCTTAAGGATCACAAATGAGGAGGGTTGAGGGTTTGAGCCCATAAGCAGGGCATCTGGGCACAGTTCAAGGACAACTCCACTGTGACGACTAGGACATATGTCCTCCCATTAGCCTAGCCTAACAAGAGCTGATGTTATTCCAAGAAAGCTTTTGAGTATTGATGCATCATGATTAAGAGTAGGAGTTCTTCAGAGGCTGACATAAATATATCATGATCTTGAAGGCCAAACATGAAACCATTTCCATTAGCTGCCTGAGAGATTACCATGGACCCTATTTTACATACTTCTAGGTAAGCAGCTCAGCTTTTTCATTGGAAAGTCTTGATAGGTAGATAGGTGCAACCAAATGCATCATGGGATATGTAGTTTAAGATAACTACATCGGATGCGACTGTTGTATCAGTGAATGTATACATCAAGGTGGGACCAAAACATCTAACACCCAGCACATGTCCTCCTACCAGAGTGACACTGGGTGTACCAACGACAAATCCGATGATGACAAGCATGGAGAAAGAAACATAAGAACGTTCTGATATGTTTAAGGCAACTGACAGAAGAATATGTAGTGCAAGGTCTCTTTTCACTGAAAGGAAAACAACACCCAATGGTCAATGTGCCCAGTCTAAGACAATTAAGACTGTCCATCAGTGCCATGTGTGAAACTGAAATCTTTGCTCTGTGCAATTCTTGTTATAATTAGATGTTAGATAGAAAGCTATCATACAAAGCAGACATATGTAATGCTACTGAAATTATATTAATCAAACTTGCTGTAAATGCCAATTTTCCTGGGCCAAGATCCCTTTATTGGTTCTATTGGTTTCTTAAGTCAGGAAATCAATTTCACTGGAAAGGAGAAAAATAATACCATAACTGGAGATGGTTTTAAAATATATATTTAACATTTAATTGAGCTCTGAGAAAGGATTTACGCTGCTTGTAGAAACCTTTCAGCCTTATCACTAAAAAGTGTGTCCATGTTGGGAATTAAACTAGTTTCTCAGGCATAATGAGGTAACACTGTAACAACTTGGCTAAGTACGGTACCTCTCCCAAACTGTGAACAAACTCATTAACATGATTCTTACAAAGATCAACATCACATATTCCCAAACCTATGATTCTTGAACTGACTCAGAGCTTTGTTCATGGCCAATTGTAGAACTGCTATGTGTGTGTCTGAACGTCTGAAGACCTAAAGCTTGATGTTAGACTCATAGAAAGCAGTCCAAGGTTGACAGTCTACCAGCAGCCTGCAGACCTCCACCACCAGTGTCCATCCATACAGACACGTCTACATTCAGTCAGGGGCTCTAAGTCTTCATTAACCTCATTCTGACTAGACCATAATGACTCATCTGGCATCCCAACCTTTCCACTGCAGCTACCCCACAATTCACATCTACAGGTAAGTGACTCTGGGTCATTATCAGAGCTCCTTTGGATTACTTGTTACTAAAATCCACATGACAAATGAACTGACAACATTAATACGAATATGAAAAGAACATAAAAATCATTCAGTGTTTGCAGCAGCTAAGGAACTTGTTGCAGAGTAATTGGGGGAAAATAGTAGTTTCTTTATGAGCCAAAAATGATGAAATTGTATATGTTCTACACATAGTAGCACACCTGTACTCTACTTGTCATTGCCAGGTGTCAACTACAAATTGGGAAATTGTATAAGATTCTTTTTTTCAGGATGCTGAAATTAGACAGACCTAGATAAACCTTTGGCAGATAAAACACTGCAGGACAATATTGGATGTCAGCAATTCTTTCTCAGGCTGATGTAATGTGTATAAAGTTTCTACTATTTATTATAAGGAGGCTCAAATGAAATAACATATGGGGTTTTATTACATACTATGGCTGATCTATAACTATCTACATTTGTACAGCACTAATATCCAGTAAACTACTGTTCCAAAGCACTTTCAGTCTGCGTAATGTCATGACAGACAAATATCAAGTCTCTTCCAAGGCCTGCTCAAAACATTTTTTACAGTTTATTCTTAAAGGTTGCAAGCCCCTGAATTGATGGAATGTACAAAGGTAGGTTATTCCACAGATATAAGCCTGCTGTCTGAAAAGTTCCGTCACCAAATGGCTTGGTCCTGGATGGCATCATGATGACTATTTAGTAAGTACTAAGCAAAGTTCCACTTTTGGGGCATATATGGATATCACTCACCAAGTTAAACTATCTGAACAAAAGTATCATTAATAATATTCCACAATCTAAATCTACTTACCACACATGGATACAACTTTTATCTTTAAGCAAACCTGATCTACATATAAAACAATTGGACTTTGTGTAAGAAATGAATAAAAACCTGTCACATCCAGTCTCTACATAGAAATGTAATTTCCAGCAAAATACAGATTAACCCATTCATCTACTTTCTCCACACAACAGATAAAGCACTCTGAAGTGTAAGATGTTCTTTAACACTATATATGCAATACAAAAACTAACAGTTGCTTCAGTAGATAGCAATTGGCACTGGTTATTGATTTCCTAAGGGAAATATAATGATGATGCTTATAAAGTTTCATGAAAGATGACGCGGTGCCCTTTTCCCCGGGCTGCAATCAATACAGACCTACTTTAATGATGATGTTACTTGACACGTTTAGTTGGTGACATTTACAATTGCAAATATCAATTTCAATTCTTGGCAGTCAGGAAATGAATGTCACAAAATAGCAACTGATCCAATATCAGTGTATGTTAGAAGGTCAATGCAGCATATACTTTAGAAGCTGCCTTGGACTGCAAATCAGTGAGATAACACAGAAATTCTGCTAAATTTCTAGCAAAGGCAGCACCACAATTGCTGATCATATGACATTCTACCCCATTCAATCACACTCTACCTCATCCACATAATGTTTTCTGAACATAAAACGTATACTTCAGTACTTCTGTTTCTTATCAATAAAAGTCAAATAATCACCATGGTGTCTTCATCACAACATTGTCATCACCACAGTGTCATCACCACAGTGTCATCATCACCACAGTGTCATCATCACAACATTGTCATTATAAACCACAGTGTCATAATCACAACATTGTCATCATCACCACAGTGTCATCAGCACCACAATGTCATCAAAACAACAGTGTCATCATCACAACAGTGTCATCATCACACCTGTGTCATCATCACAACATTGTCATCATCGCCACAGTGTCATCATCATAACATTTTCATCATCACCACAGTGTCATCATCACAACATTGTCATCATTGCCACAGTGTCATGATCATAACATTGTCATCATCACCACAGTGTCATCATCACAACATTGTCATCATCGCCACAGTGTCATTATCATAACATTGTCATCATCACCACAGTGTCATCATCACAACATTGTCATCATCACAACAGTGTCATCATCACAACATTGTTATCATCACCACAGTGTCATCATCACAACAGTGTCATCATCAGCACAGTGTCATCATCACAACATTGTCACCATCAACACAGTGTCATCATCACAACAGTTTCATCATCACCACAGTGATATCATCACCACAATGTCATCATCACAACATTGTCATCACACCACATTGTCCTCATCACCACAGTGTCATCATCACAACAGTGTAATCATCACCACAGTGTCATCATCACCACAGTGTCATGATCATAACAGTGTCATCACAACAACAGTGTCATCATCACAACAGTGTCATCACCACAACCGTGTCATCATCACCACAATGTCATCACCAAAACAGTGTCATCATCACCACAGTGATATCATCACCACAGTGTCATCATCACAACAGTGTCATCATCACCACAGTGCCATCACCACAACAGTGTCATCACCACAATGTCATCATCACCACAGTGCCATCATCACAACAGTGTCATCATCACAACAGTGTCATCATCACCACAGTGCCATCACCACAACAGTGTCATCACCACAATGTCATCATCACAACAGTGTCATCACCACAACAGTGTCATCACCACAATGTCATCATCACCACAGTGTCATCATCACAACAGTGTCTATCATCCCCACAGTGTCATCATCACCAGTGTCGTCATCACAACAGTGTCATCACCACAACAGTGTCATCACCACAACCGTGTCATCATCAACACTGTGTCATCATCAACACAGTGTCATCATCACAACAGTGTCATCATCACTACAGTGTCACC